CGCACAACAATGTCGGAAAAATACATCAAACGGCTATTCCTGCCTAAGTTTGGCATGGCAGGACATACACCAAAAACTCTAGAGATTTTCATAGAAGAGGGTTTTTCTTTAGCTACCCTCACAGCTGACGAACTAAAAAGAGAGCTATGTATGTTATGTAGCCTATCACCAGCTGAATTTGAAGGTCTGTATAACTATGGGACACTGCGTAAATGGTATGTCACCATTAGATCAAAGGAACTATATGAGAAAATGCACCTAAAAGAATTTCACAGAGATTTGCCACCTGGGGTAACATCCAGATACAGAGTGCAGAGAATATCAATAACCCACGCCGATAAATCTGGGCAAAGGGGCATGCTGAAATGGCTCCCTTCCAAGACAAGCGACGATGATATAATGGCGATTCAGAAATCTATAAGCAGTCAGGACTCAACACCAACATTTAAGAGAATAGACCAATCAAATGTGGTCCAATTCACCATCTCTCTGGAGAAAGAAGATGTGGAGAGTGTCCCACACTATATTATACTTACAAATGAGGCCAACAAGGAGAGCAGAGTCCTTATAATCCTCAATGGGAGGAGGGTGCAATGTTGCCACTGCAACACAGACACCTGCCTAAAATGTGTGAGCATTTGACGTCCAGCTAGTAGACAGACAGTACAGGGCAATTGAGCCTTGGGATGCAAATGATAAAGAAGAAGTTAGGGAGCATCTAAGTAACAATAGAAATTTCTTAAAGCATTTCGACAGTTATGATGTTGACGGAGAAAGACAAAATGAAATGCTTAGAGAAGCAAGGCATAGAGAGGTAGAAGATACCTTTGGAGTAGATGGCCAAACTGAAGCACATCATACTACTGCAGCATCACAGCAAGTTAACGAAAGCGTAACAGAAACCACCGTAGAGGCCGAAGCCATGGAGACAATAGCGATCAGAAATTCCATAGTAACAGGGTCTCAAAAAGATGGGAATCAAGAAAATTTGGAGGCAGTCGACGAAACAATAAATGATATTCTTCAAGATAACACTAGTTCAGAAAACATAACGAACCGCTAAAGGAAATTAAAAGATCACAAAGTATATCAGCAACAAAGGTATCAGGTCAACTGTCATATAGTCAAGCAATCAGTTCAAATAAAAATCAATTACCTACAGTAAAGCCATTATTTGCAGTTTAAATTAGCATGTATGTCTACTCATTTTCTTTAAGATTTATTTCTTAAAAACTATTTTCATTATAAAAAGCTAGGCCTACCACATGTAGTTATCAGGTAAATTGTATTCAAATTAAGGATTTAATGTCCTTTTCTGTTATTTTTCATTATGCGCTTGATTTTACATGTGTTAAAATGATAAAAGAATGTATATTTAATGCTTAGAATGACAGAGTGAATTTAATGTACATTATTTAAAATATAATAATTTTCTGGTTTCTACTATGATCTGACCAGGATACAAGTGCATTTGTTTTGGAACGCCCCGTCATGCGCTTGAGCGATCATTAAATCAGCATTAAAATTAGATAACCGTTTAAAATGTTCGAAATTTAAATTAAGAACTTATTTAATCGTTTTCTAAATCAATAATGTGAAACCAAAATAAAAAGAAGTGACTGGTAAAAAACGCCCCGACATTTCCAAATTAGGGAGGTGGGGGTGCATTTTCATCAACGCGATTAAATATAGGCCACTATAGGCCTAATTTAGGGGTGGGGGTGCAAAATTGATAGTTCGTCCTGGGCGCCGAAATAGATCGCTACTCCTTTGTTTATTATCCTGTCTATAGTTTATAAAAGATAATGAAAGTTAGTAATTATTAGGTATTTTTTGATAATAGCGATTAAACCTTCCCCCCCCCCCTCTAGAGGGTTATAGGAAAAAAGTCACAGGAAAAAAAACACAGGAAAAAATGCTATTAATATTTTATGTTAAACATAATATTAATAGCATTTAATAGAATTTTCCAACGTCCTCGGACTTGCTGCCCTCAATTCATCGCAACAATAGTTATGTTTAGTTCAACCACCTTTACTGCCCACATTTATCACGTTCATTACATAACAAAGCATATGATCAAAACAGAAAGCCGACAAGGTTCAAAGGCTGTCATTGACACAAAATGTTAACAACACACAATATGTTCGGACAAGGCCGACTGAGGAGAAGCCGACCAGAGAATAGCCTGCGGCAAAACATATGCAAAACACAATGATGTGCCTACATTTCTTTCATAATTAATTTTCCTACCGCGTAATTAACTAAATGCGTAACAAAAGATGAGATTGTTGTGTAAATTATCTTAGAGTATTTTTACTTACAATTGTTATAAACCATAATACTTTTAACGTCTATAGATAATTTATGCTTTCAAAAAATACAACCCACAACAATAAACATACAAAATTTTACAATTTTCAACAAATAAATAAAAATATTTCTGAAATTATTTTTGTGACTTTTTTTCTGTAACTTAATTTATGTGACTTTATTTCCGATAACATTTTTCCACTGTGACTTTTTTTCTGTGTTTTTTTTTTCCTGTGCCTTTTTACCGTAGGGATGGCGGTGAACGAAAAAAAAAAGTCACAGGAAATAAAAACACAGAAAAAAGCCACAGTTTTTGCTAGGCAAAAAAGTCACAGAAAAAAAAGTCACATGCTTTGTTATGTAATGAGCATGACAAATGTGGGCACGAAAGGTGGTTGAACTATTGTTGCTATGAGTTGAGGACAGCAAGTCACATTAACTACGCCTCTACGCCATTTCACGCTAATTTAAATTTAGTATTTTAAAAAACCCGACGAAAATCCGAAAGGGTTGGAACATTCTATTAAATATTTTAAGTATAGCGGAATTAAAACCTACATGCTTTATACTAAATATTTTTACGTGTGTCATACAAACCTATACAACATACGAAAATAAATCTAAAATCTTTACATTACATTCGAATCGGAAATTGATTTGTACTTTCTTAATATTTAATACATAAAAGTATTAAATTCTATACAAATACTTATTTGTGACTTTTTTTTCCTGTGACTTTTTTTCCTGTGACTTTTTTCCTGTGACTTTTTTTTCTGTGACTTTTTTTCCAGTGCCTTTTTTTTCCCTACAATCGACTAATCTATATAGCACAATTATCGCCGCTCCCCGAATAACGTGGGAACACACAGTATAATCTATAATAGCTAGGGGGTAGGGCGTGGTTTATAATTTTGTAGTATATTTTTCTTATATATATTATGCAATTATTTTTTCTTCGTTACCCCCCCCCCCCACCACCAAATGGTGTCACCCGGTGCGCTACGCACCCCGACCCCGCCTCGCGACGCCTCTGGTGGGTGGAGAGATTATTAATTTTATTTTTGTGTGAGAATTTGTTTGTGAACTTTGTACTTCCGGTCAAGATGGCTATATAAGACCGAGTGGCGTATTCACGGTATTGGGACTTCCCAACTATGACACAAGAAGAAGAATTTCAAAGTAACGTCTATTCTTAAATTCTTAAAAACAAGACAGCAACCAGTGGCGTAGCCAGGATCGTCTCAAGGGGGGGGGGTCCAATTTTTTACCAGGGGACAAAGTTTCGATTTGCACCCCCCTAAAACTTTCGATTTGCACCCCCCTCATACTTTATATATATATATATATATATATATATATATATATATATATATATATATATATATATATATATATATATATATATATGTATATATATATATATATATATATATATATATATATATATATATATACATATATACATATATATATATATACCGAGGGGTCTATGGGGGGGGGTTATGACCCCCCCCCCTAACCCCCCTTGCCTACGCCACTGACAGCAACTGTTACCCAGCAACCAGCTGTCAGTACAAGAGGCAGACCTGATGATGGATCTTATAATAGGGCTGCAATTTTGAACACTGTAATAAAGTGTTCAACAGTTTACTATAATCATTACAGTACAACTCATGAGTACTCGTTTGGTGGACTTGTTATGGGGATGGTATGCTAGAGAGTAAGACTGCTAATCCAGAAATCCTGAGTTTGGATCCTGGGATCCACCCAGTTCTTATCGGATCCCAACTTTTTGGGAAAGCACTATCCCTTTATACGCAGAGGTAATTGAAACAGGTGAACTCTACTTCACCTGTTCCATGGACCTTCATGGCAGAGGCGTAGCGAAGGGGGTACATATGTCCCGGGCGCCGAACATAGGGGGGGCCAAAATGGGTTGAAAAAAAAATTATAAGCCCATTTTAGCTGCAGTTTTGCATTATATATGTAAAAAAAATATATGGTGGGGGGGGGGGGGGCGCTGGGAAGGGTCGCTACGCCTCTGCTTCATGGTACTTTCCTTTTTTTTTCTTTTGCCAAATTAAGTATTTGTATTACAGTACAACTCATACGTTATCTTATATTTTTATTTTGTGGGTGTTGTAGACTTAGGTTAGGAGTTTGACCGCCGTGGGTTTAGCCACGGTTGCACTGACGCCCGGTAGTTATTAGACATTAGGGTAAATTTAGATAGTTAGGGTTTCACACCCCCCCCCCCCTTGTCAGGCTTACACACACATAAACACACACGCACCCACCCACACACACACGCACACACACCCACGCATACACACACCCTCACACACATACACCCTCACACATACACACACCCTCACACATACACACACATACACACCCTCTCACACACACACCCTCACATACACACACCCTCACACATACACACACATACACACCCTCTCACACACACACCCTCACATACACACACCCTCACACATACACACACATACACACCCTCTCACACACATACACCCTCACACATACACACACCCTCACACATACACACACATACACACCCTCTCACACACACACCCTCACATACACACACCCTCACACATACACACACATACACACCCACACACAAACACCCTCACACACATACACACACCCTCACACACACACACACCTACCTCTGTACGCTCCTTTGATGGCTAACTGTGGGTTGTAGTTGAGTGTAGAAAAAAAAGATTCATCCGGTATCTCAACATTCTCTGTCCATTTAAGCAAAGCCCTGGACGTCTCGTTGTGGAGAACGAAGTCTATAAAATCTCTTGAGAGAATATAAGGGTTTTACTGAATTGACTGTTTGGTTTAACTGGATTCAATTTTTTGGGGTCAGCGTCATGCGGTTAGGAGTTAGGGTTCGACTTTTGGATATGGGTATCTTTTGATTAACATGTTCTGGTATTATAATGTAATTAATACAGTAATCTCGAGGTTGTTTCACTAAAACGTGAATCAACTAGAGCTGACCTCCCCCCCCCCCCCCCTTCTCTTCCATCGTCCTGTTTAAAGGCACAGTTAAACGATGAGAATTCCTTTACACGTCAGGGAATCAAGTTAAAGAAAACAACTTATTATTAGACTAATAGTCAATTTAAAAAAAAAAAATAACAAGCGTCTGTGTTTTAATGTAGCGGATGGAATGTCTGGAGGGGGGGTAATTGACAGAGGTTATTGATAACTAGAGGTCTTGCTGATTTGTGTGTGTGTGTGGGGGGGGGGGGTTGGGGGGGTGGGGGTAAATGTACTGTCTTTGGGTGAAGTATTATAAAGGGGGTAATTGACAAGGGAAAGTGGGCTTGCGTTTTGTGTGTGTGGGGGGGGGGGGGGGGAGAGATGGTGGAGTGTGGCAGTTTTTGTGCGGATGTGTATGGTTAGGTTTAGACTTGTGGATATGGGTTACTTTTAATTAACATGTTCTAGTATTATAATGTAATTACTAAAGTAGTCAAGAGGTCTTTTTACTAAATTGTGAATCAACTAAAGCTTCCATCGTCCTTTTTAAAGGTACTGTCAAACCATGAGAATTCCTTTACAAAACAGGGAATCATATTAAAAAAAAAACATACAAATATTCATTTTAAAAAGTCACAACCGTCTGTGTTAATGTAGCGGATGGGTTGTGTTTTGGGGGGGGGGGGGGGGGATCGACATGACAGAGATAATTGATAAGGGGAGGTCTTTCTTATTTGTGTGTGGGGGGGGGGCGGGGTTATTGTCCGGGTAATTAATGTTGTTTTGTTTTTGGGTTGAGTAATATACAGGGGGTAATTGACAAGGGAAAGTGGTCTTATGTTGTTTTTTTTTGTTGGTTTTTTTTGCAGGGGGGGGGAGGGGTCAAGTCTGGCTGTTTTTGTGCGGATTTGGGGGAGGGTGGTAATTGGCGGGAGAAGTAGTGTCCTGCTCACAGAAAAAGTCACTTTACCTGTTGGCTACAATATGCACCGCACCTTTCACCGGCCGCAGGCCTAGAGGCGGCTTGGTCCGCCACCTGTACGTGTTGGCGCTGGTAGAGACGGGAGGAGAAAAAAAAAATTGATTGGATATCGATCAGAAGATAATTGTGCTTTGATATGTGTGTGTATGGGGGGGGGGCGTCATTTGTTAAGCAAGGGAGGCGACTCTATTATATATACTCGTAAAGAGGTTGAATAACAGGTTGTGTTATAACTAAAGTTATGCTTTCACTAAGGAATCGTGCCCATGTTATTTAACGCAAAGGCGGTCAGTTGGGGGCGATTTTCCCAATAATGTGTTATATGCGGTTAACAAATGAGTAATGTTAAGCAATGACTGTTGATTTTCAACTTTTTTTTAAAGAGTATAAGAGTAAAATGTATTGTGGTGGTTCGTATATTTGTAGGGGGGGGGGGGGTTGGAGTGGTCTCTTGAGATGTGGTATTTTATATCTGGCAGGTGGTGTGTTAAAAATGTCTGATTTCTATGTTTTATTGTTTTATAAAATATATGCCACTACATGCTGTATATGACCCCCCTCCCACGTCATTATCACAGACCATATAGGCCTACACTATTGTTATGCACGATCCTTAAATGAGCTAGAAGTCCTATTTCATAAGGCTATTATATTTATATATATCTCACTAACAGTGTTTCTTCAAGACCTTTTTCTCCGGGGGGCAATTGAAATTTTCGGGGGGCGGACAGTGTTAAAAGTACATATTTTCTTTATAAATTTCATTTCGTTCGGGGGGGGGGGGGGTAGCCTTTCTTCGGGGTGGGGGGGGGGGATGGGGGAGCGAAGAGATGCCTGGAAGAAACTCTGCTTTCTTTTTATCCAGTTGGAGCGTCCAGTCCACCCCTTTACCCCCCCCCCCCCCCTCACCAAATGACCTAACACACTTATAGCCATGTCATCGTTTTCTTAATATTTACCTACCCTTTAATCGTTCCTTCAATATTGTTGGCACCGTCAAAAGCTTTCAAAATTTTCACAAGTTCCCAATTCGTTTTTAACGGGAACTCCTGCCCGGTGAGGTTGATAAAGTACTTCCAGCGAGTGTAACGCCACAGTTCCTTCAAACAGACTATTTCCGCTTCCAGGACAGAAAATTTGCCCCATTTTACATCAATTCTATTCTCAGGCAAAAAGACACCCGGAAGACATTTAGAGATGGCCAGCATCGCTTGGTAGAATCCAGAATCCGAGGAAGCATCAACGTGAATACAGTAATAGTTTTGTGGTCTGTAGATTGCCCTTAATAAACGCTCCACCATTTCGGAGTCTTTATACGCCATTATCGTAAAAGCGATCGGGAATTCCTCTTCCTCCGCGGATAATGAGGACGTGATGTATCCGCGCGACTTTCGGAAATTCCCACAATCTTTGGCTAAACTAATATAGGAGGAATCGTTCAGCTCGTTTTGCCCAATGTGCATTACGTTTTCGATACTTTTGTTCAGTTGCGCATTGAAAAAGAGATTTTTACAATCTGCTGTAGTTACTTTATGCTGGCTGGCTAAATCTTGAAGCAGGCGGAGATTCTGATCTTCTGCTAGTACGTAAGAGGTTATGTTTTTTAAGTAACTGCTGAATACACTGAAATGTTCAACTTTAGGTTGCCAGTTCATTATCCACATAAGAAAACAAATCGTTACTAGAAATGACATAAAAAATAAAATGTTCTTAAATGTTGATTTCATTTTTTAAAAAATGTTTCCTTATATTAATTCAACGATCTTACTTGACAAATGAACATTTTCCTGCAAAGATAAAAAAAATAAACATTAATGCCAGTTTTTTAAAATAATAACACACACAAAAAGCCTACTTTTTAAACAACTTTTACGGTTGTTTATTTTTACTCAACGTATTGTAGTACATTTAATAGTTTAATGAGAGTTAAATTAAATAATTATACGCAATTAAAAAAACAACACATGTCTTTAATTGTAAGAATCTACTTGTCCTGAGCTCGCGATCTATAGGGCAGATGAAGTAGAGTACGCATGTTTCTGTCTCTTTTGACCACCGCACATGAAGGGTTAATGTTGTAGTAGTGGTATAGTGTGGTTAGTAGTGGGATAGTGTGGTCAGTAGTGGTATAGTGTGGTCAGTAGTGGGATAGTGTGGTCAGTAGTGGCATAGTGAGGTCAGTAGTGGGGTGGTCAGCAGGGGGATAGTGTGGTCAGTAGTGGGATAGTGTGGTTAGTAGTGGGATAGTGTGGTCAGCAGTGGGATAGTGTGGTCAGCAGTGGGATAGTGAGGTCAGTAGTGGGATAGTGTGGTCAGTAGTGGGATAGTGTGGTCAGGAGTGGGATAGTGTGGTCAGTAGTGGGATAGTGTGGTCAGTAGTGGGATAGTGTGGTCAGTAGTGGGATAGTGTGGTCAGTAGTGGGATAGTGTGGTCAGCAGTGGGATAGTGAGGTCAGTAGTGGGATAGTGTGGTCAGTAGTGGGATAGTGTGGTCAGGAGTGGGATAGTGTGGTCAGTAGTGGGATAGTGTGGTCAGTAGTGGGATAGTGTGGTCAGTAGTGGGATAGTGTGGTCAGTAGTGGGATAGTGTGGTCAGCAGTGGGATAGTGTGGTCAGCAGTGGGATAGTGTGGTCAGCATTATGCCCAGCCGTCTGTAATTTCCCTAACGTGATTAGGTTATCCTTCATAGCTTGGTGGGTTCAAGGAAGTCTTAGCTCAAGGAAGTCTTAGCTCATGGAAGTCTTAGCTCAAGGAAGTCTTAGTTCAAGGAAGTCTTAGCTCAAGGAAGTCTTAGCTCAAGGAAGTCTTAGCTCAAGGAAGTCTTAGCTCAAGGAAGTCTTAGCTCAAGGAAGTCTTACAAACTCGATTCGGGGATTGGAACTCGAGACGTTCGTGTTTGAAGTTGTGCGCTCTAACTCTACCAATTATGTAATGTTCCTTTTCGAACCTGACCATCCATGGAATGGAGAAGTAAGGTTCTGTGACCTCTGCATTCGAAGAGATAGTGTGGTCAGCATTATGCCCAGGCGCTTTTACTTTTCTTAACGTGAGTTAGGTACCCATCAGAGCTGGGTGTACTTAAAGACTTTTGGTTTAGTAGTCGTATACTCTTTCAGTTAACTAATCATTCCATCTACATTTTAAACAAACCTGAATGAATATACTTACAAATGACTGTGTTTAAGATGGCTCGCTTCGTCGTATAATTTATTCTGCTTTTTAGCTTCACAGATAAACTAATACAAGGAATTTATTCTGCAAACTCTTCCTTATACTGACTATCTAATGTGTCAAAATAGCATGTTCGTTTCATAAGCCTAACTGATAAGGAATGATCAACAAAGTATGCACAGGCATATTTTTCGATAAACTAAACCAACTAAAACGTGAAGTACCTGTTTCGAAAAATCAGTCAGTAGTACGAACTCCTCCGACTCTGTCGTTATCTCACATTCAGTTAATTTTTTTATCACACAAAACTGGGTTGTGTCATTATGACATGGAATTAAAAAGTTTTATAAACTAAATGGATATGTGTGTTGAAATGTCCTTATGCACTGCGTGGTTGAGCGGTAAAGCGCAGGCCTACTAAACGGGAATCCTCGAGATCGGTTCATGGGTAGGCCTACTTGAGTCTGTGGGACATCCTTTTGTTCACCCAGCTATATTAAGTAGTCAACACATAAAGGGTTCAAGTAAAGACGGAGTTGCGCAATATTAAATGAACTAACTTTTAATGATTATGTAATATAATATACGAGCCGACCCGCGGCGTATACGCCGCTATTTGGTTGTTTTATTTTCTACTTTTCAGTAATTCATAATTTGTGAATTCGATAGTACCAATGCTGCCACTGAAAATATTTGCTTTAAAACACTATCAGTATGTCGTTAAGGACGATACCCCCCACCCTCATTTCCCCCAACCCCTACCCTACCCCCCTCCTCCCGTGAAAGCAGCTTCCTCTTAGTTACCTCCACTAAGTTTAAAATCGTTTCAAACTAAATTATCTGCCACTAATAGCCGTCACTAAACCCGGCTCTACGATTGTAAACATTTAGCGTGAACCACAGCTCACCAGACCATGTGGGGGTGGGGGGTGGGGGGCTAGGCGCGCTTACAGCTTGGTGTTTTCTAGGGTATCCAAGAAGAGAATTATATACATAGATGATAAGGGCTGATATGTAATATAATATTAACTGGCATGGGGTCGTTTTTCTTCATCTATTTCTTTCCTAATTTTAGTGTTAGAAGGAATTTCCTACAACACATTTAAAAATACGCCATTTATGCGCCATTTAAGCCGATGACTCCGATTTCAGCCTGCTTTTCTTTTTGGATTTGCTTCCATATCCTTTGTCCTACCAAGAACAAACTACAAGGCAGCAATTGTTTCATTTTGGAGTTGTCTCTCCTAGAAGAGTTGCTGTCCCCAGCTAACGAGCCTCATCTGCCCGAGGGTTCGAACTCATATTTAAAACTTTAGTAGTAAAGAAATAGAACTCTCTGTAAGTCTTTGAAGATTTTGTCTCGCACATAAACAATCAAACGAGAGTTATAGTTCCTGCTGTTGTTTGCATCAGCTTGCGTGAAATGAAATTCAAAATATGAATATTTACCACTTCTATGGCAACACCTGGTATCCAACGAATAAACGAAATGTAACAGTATGAGGAAAGCCGTACCAAAACACTTCGCCGTATTATTATAAAAATAAATTATTAAATAGTGACGGATACAAATCATTAATAAACAAGTCCACACACCTGAATAAGGACACACTAAGGTTACTGAATAGTGATTTAAAAAAACGTAACTCAGAGATAAAACTAATCTGAAAGGTGGCATAATCCCACAGTACAATCGCTGACACAATCACTCAACCAATTGTTAACACAAACCTAACACAACTGTGACACTTAAGTTTGTATGTGTATTAAGCATTAAAAAACGGGTTATTAAACATTTTCGATCATTAACTTCGAGAAAATCTTAGCATAATACATCAGGCACCATCTGTTGGCCAATCAATGCATCAATACTTTTAATACAGTAAATTGCCAGGGAACATAACTACTTTCTTTTAACCACTCAAAAAGTTGTCACTGATTCTTACAGTAATACGAGAGTTATTGGACTTGGGGCTGTTAGCAACATCTTGAGTAGGCTGACTAATAAAATATAGCAAGTGGGTAATATTTCAAATGTGCTAAAGTAATTATTGATCTTTTTAGACATTTACAATTAACTTTGTAGAAATATACATAGTTATATTAAGAGAGTGATTATTTCCCCTAGTTAGCTTGTCTAAATTAATAATCTAGGAATCATTATGTCAAATTGTTTTTTTACAAGGATTACAAAACAGATTATGTTGCGTTAATTGTTTTTGGTTGTATTGTGTCTATATTTTGTTTTTGTTTTTTTGTTTAGAGTGATACATTGTTTTGTTTTGTCGGCCTACATTGTGTGTTTTTTCTTATTTCTTCAGAGTGCTACTTTTAAATTATTTTACATCAAAGCGAAGCAATGACATACAGCTAGTATATAACTATGTATATATATATATATATATATATATATATATATATATATATATATATATATATATATATATATATATATATATAATGCTGGAAAAAATTTGAACCCCTCCCCCATGAGACGATCCTGGCTACTCCACTGGTAATAGTACATTCCCAAAGCATATATAAATGCAGAATATTTTATAAGAGGCTTGTCATTCTTTAAATAATAGCCTTGTTCTTTCACCCTATAATAGATAATTGCGTAGATGAAGCAGAGTTGATTTTTTCTTTGAGTTCGGCATATGCAACTGTGATTAAACAAGATATTAAGAAAATATAGGCTAGGATTGGTTTCGGATTTTAAAAAATGATTTTCTGTCTGAATGCATATAACATTTGCATTTTTCAACTTAGTGTTCTCTTCTTCTTCTTCGTTCTTAATTATTAGTGTTGAAGGGGATCGAGATTTATCTGCCAGTGGGTTTGAACTCGAGACTTTGTTCGAATTTATCAACCATGAGCTTTTTGCCGACTCGACCAACACAATTAAGTCATTGAGGCCATTGACTCCGATTTCAGCCTGCTTTTCTTTTTGGATTTGCTTCCATAGCCTTTGTCCAACCAAGAACAAACTACAAGGCAGCAGTTGTTTAATTTTGGTGTTGTCTCTCCTAGAAGAGTGGCTGTCCCCAGCTAACGAGCCTCATCTGCCCGAGGGTTCGAACTCGAGACTTTTCGGTTTAGCAACCATGAGCTTTACCGACTCGAGTGTGAAGTCGATCAATATGGAAAGAACGTAAACATGTTAATGTTTCAATTTTTGTGTGGTTTGAATGGTGTTTATCTAAATGATATTTACCATAAATTGCCTTGCATTATATTGGTCTGAGACAAATTACTTACCACAATCAATTGGACGCTTTTGGCATTGGACAAACTATTTACAATAAGTTTCAAATTAGCACTGTATTCTGTTGGCGTCAAACAAAGTACTTACTTCCAATCTTCAAGTTGTATTGTATTATGTTGGCGTTAGAAAACTTATTTACCACATTTCCAAAAGTCGTATTGTATTCTGTAGCGTTAGAAAATCTATTTACCATAATTCATATTCCATTTTGATGGTATTAGTCAAACTATTTCCCACAAGTCCATAAAGACATTGTATTCTGTTGGCGTTAAACAAACTATTTACCACCATTCCACAGGTCCTATTGTATTCTGCACGCGTTAGAGTATCTATTTATCACAATGTGTATTACATTTTGATGGAATTAGTCCCACTGTTTACCACAAGTTCAAAAATCATATTCTATACTCTATTACTGTTTGATAAATAAAAATCACAAGTCATGCACGAGTGAGTTCAATACCTCCACGACCAGACGACTTTTCTGAATGAATTCCATCTCCGTCATGACAACATATCACCACGCTACTCCCTTAGTCACACGCCACGCTCAACACGCACAAATCTATACCAACAACTCACCGTTATACCGCGCACAACTTCCGTTACCACGGTAACTGTGTAATTCCCCATAAACTACACTTGAATTAACTAGAATCAATGTAAACGCGCATCGACACGCATGCCTGCTTGCTTGCATGGGCGGTTAAGTCGCGTGCCAATCGATCTCTTGCAAACGTTGTTTATTTTTAATTTATTTTTCAATCAAACCGCTTGAATCAACGTGATGGGTTTCTCCTTTCATTGCAATGTAAATCGTGTGCAAATCGCATGCAACATGTTGCAGTTGTGAGTGAGAAATGCCAATAAAATCACTCTTTAGGACTGAGGCCAGGTGCACATGGCAGGTGAAAAACAAGAGCAAGAGAACAGAAGAACACTGAGCACACAACCGAGAGCAGAACAAAAACACGCTTATAAAGGACAAGAGATTTAAAAAGTGTGTAGGTTGTTTTGAGAAATAGCGACATAGGAAGTGGAACGTCATCAATCTACCATTCATTTTAAAAAGTCAGCAATTGGGAATTACCTAATAATAGGCATATATATATATATATATATATATATATATATATATATATATATATATATACATACATATATATATGCCTATTATTAGGTAATTCCCCGCCTCCTCCCCCCCCCTCAACCTCCTACCCGCTTCAAATATAAAACAAACCCTAAATGTTCAAACATAAATACAATACAAAAATCAACAATGTCAATATATAGGCCCCTAGATTTTTAAAATTTTATTTTCTAAAACAGAAAACAAAGCAAAACTTACAAAATATTCCAAAAATATTTATATAACAAAATCTAGACGTAAAAAAAAGAATAAAATAAATAAATTACCAATGTAAAATATACACTTCTGAATAAGAAAACGAAGGAAAACAAGCATACATTTAAATTTGAATATTTTAAGCTATCCCTCTAAAATAGTTCATGTGATTTCTGATGGCATAGTCGAAAACTTGGAAGATGATGTGGATCGTGATTAGCTTCGATGTTTTCGAATACGACGACATAGATGTGGAATAGGAATCTTTTGTGAAGAAGCTGCTTCTCAAAGATTTTACATCTCTCGACCAGGAATCTTTTGGGTTTTTTTTCCTCTGTTTTCAGTGTCATTATTTTATGCCCTGTCGAATTTGAAGAACTTCACATTGTGTTGCATATGATGCTTGTGTGTGTACACGCAGAAATTCAACAACAATGTCATTTTTAATTTTGATATTTGCTTTGCTTTCAGAAATCCTTGTTCCATTTCCTTGACGCTTTTCACGTTCATAACTGATCGCATCTCCTGCTAAATCTTTCAGTTTAATATAAAATTATCCAATTTTGCTTAACTTCCTTAATCCCACGAATACTATGAACTTCATCTATATTTGAATTAAAAAAAGACTATATAAACAGTGCACCACATTTAAGATTTACGTTTACGTCATTCGCTTTTCAAAAGAAAAATGAAGTGAAAAAAGCCCACATAAGCAGTGACATTTTAGGTATATGAATACATAATACATCGACACATACCACTATTCTTATCAATCTTAATCTAAACTTATAACGATCTTAAGTTGATCGCGTGGGAGCAGAGGCGTAGCGACCTCTCCCGGCGCCCGGGAACAAACTTTCAATTTGGCTTCCCCTTCCCCATATATTTTTAATTTTATAATTCAAAACTGCAACTAAAATGAGCTTTTAATTTTTTTTCCAACCCATTTTGGCGCCCCTAGGGTCGGCGCCCGGGGGTATATGTACCAACCTGCCCCCCTCCCCTTCGCTACGCCACTGCGTGAGAGGGGGGGGGGGGAGGGAATGTTCTAATGCAGTTTTTTGGACGGGGGGGGGGGGGGGGGGAATTGACATGAGGTAATTGCTCCCGGGAGGGGAAAACAGGGGTAAACATTCGGGGATAAACTGACGATGGGGAGCGGTAAATGTCCTAGACCCTATTGATATATATATATATATATATATATATATATATATATATATATATATATATATATATATATATATATATATATATATATATATATATATATATATATATATATATATATATACATGGTTATGGATTTTTCTGATACTAAGTTGTATTATATTACGCCCTTGAGTAAGTCATTTTAAATTGTTATTTTAAATTTAAATTTATAGAATCTATATTTTTTAAATATTTGAACAAGTGGACTATACTAGACTATATGTCTATATTATATTCTACATCACCCTGTTATAAAAGTTTGTAGACTAAAGACAGAATTACACCGGGATTCTGTAAAACACAAATTATGTTGATAATATTTTACGAAACGAAATATTGGTGTGCAACGTTTTAAAATCCAACACAGCTCATTTGCAAACTTTTAACTGAAGGCTATTATAAATTATTAGAATTACTAGATGAAGACTAGTATTTTGTAATAATGCATTAAACTCCTTGAAGATCAGTATTAATAGTTTAAAAGAAACGCGAAAATGTCATTCCTTGTCGATTCGTTATTAATGGTATTTTCGTTGGTAAGAAAGAAGTAACAAATTTAAAAAATTCCTTTAGTTTATTTCCACTGACTGGTCATGCATGTCCCTTTCTAGATTCTACCTGATTCTAAATACTAAATTTGATTACAATTGATTATAACTGATTCTTATATAATTATACTTTAAAGAGCTGTTACTGTAATAATAGCGTAGTAATAGCGTATCATGGCCTTGATCAGTTCTTATTAAATTAATACAGCTGTATTTCCAAGCTGCAACTTTATTAAAGCCTACAATTCCAGATTTCAGATCCCGCCAGGAATGTTATTGAAACAACACACATTTTTATATGTTTGGGCTGAGGATCATAAATTACATCTAGATCTAGATTCTAGATCTATTTAAATTTTAAATTGATTTATCACACATTATTTACAAATTACTTCTATAGACCTAATATAACCTAATGTGGTACACATTTTTTCTTTCAGGTTTTGTTCTTCGGAGGAGGATGGGTTTTCTTTTTGAAACAGTTATACAGAGATTATGAGGTAGGCCTATTTGTCATTGTAACTAATACTCAAATAGAGTCTACATATTTTTAAAAAAAAAGGAATAGGCCTAAATACATTTTAATATAATTAGGCCTACTAAAACTACTGACTACTAACGTAATCACAAGGGAGGTGAATAGAAAAATAACAAAATGAATAGATTCTTAAATTTCATTGAGGATTTAAAATCCTTGTAGTCACGTTAAATTGAGTAAAAAAATGTTAACAAATATTCAGGTTCACCATTCTATCGTTTTGTTGGTGTTCTCCACAACCTTTGCCCTCTCATGTATTATGTTTGAATTGATCATCTTTGAAATACTTGGTGTAATGGAATCAAGGTAAGTTATGTACATTTTTGTTGGTATAATTGCTGTTTACAAGTAAATTACACATTTTTGAAATCACAAAACGAAATTTTATACTGAGCTATTAATTTTATTCAAGCACTTCTTGTCATCCACTAGCTTAACTAACACATTTTTTTATGAATGATATAGACATTTTAAAAATCATTTTGGTATTGATATTTCATTATTGAACGTTTTGAGTTTTCAATTAAGAACTAATACCTGCTAATGTTAATCCTTCTACTCCTATTCCAATATCAGTTCTAGATTCTTCCACTGGAAGCTGGGGCTCTATGCCATCTTGTTTGTGCTGATTGCTGTTTTACCCTACTATATTGCATACTATTTGATCCAGAATATTAGAATTGGTAATTCTTTATTTTTCATGCTTTTAAAATAGGTTATTTAACTGAACATGTTTGAAGTTATTAAATATTATGTTTGTTATTGTTTGAAGTATAAGTTATAGGTTATTAGCTTTTGAAAAATTAACACCTTTTCAATTTCAAATAATTAGGAACATACTGAACGTCAACTACTATTTTTAAAACTAATTTTTAATTGCCTAATGATTAAAATAATATAACTATTTTTGCAAATAAAAAATTGATAAGTAAATAAGTTCTTTGCAACCATCTAAAAATTATTTTTCCTATCATCATACAATTTTGTTCACTACCTTTTTTTAATAATTTGTTTTGGTTAATTAATTGTATTTTACTTTAGTTCCACAGAAACGCCATATCCGTGTATTTATAGCAGCTGGGGCGTGGTGCCTTACTCTATATTTGTTTTGGAGGGTTGGAGACCCATTTCCTATTTTGAGCCCTAAACATGGTAAATATAGTTTCATCAATTTTAGAGTGTTTTTTATTTCATTTTAAATATATAATTTCTTTTGTTTTTAATAATGTTTTTTTTTTTAGGAAAGTTGATAGGTAAATTGAAAATGTTATTTTCAACCTTCCTTATTTTAGCAATGTGTAATAATTGTTTTTTTTTACTGCATTTAATGGAGTGAGGTGTTATGTGTAAGTCCTAAACATCCTGTTTCAAGCTAGTGAGTCAAACATTGTTGTAGGAGAAACTAATTTGGTTGTATTTAGTATAAAATTGTAAGCATTTTTGTCCTTAGGAATCTTCTCCATTGAGCAGTGTATTGGGCGTGTGGGGGTGATTGGGGTAACTCTGATGGCAATTCTGTCAGGGTTTGGTGCAGTTAACTGCCCTTACACTTACATGTCTTACTTCATAAGGTAATGAATTGATTTTTTAATCCTGAAATAATTTCTGTGTATAGAAATACATAATATAGAATGTTTATTAAAGGCGAAAAATTATCAGTTGTGCAGACACATTATTTATAGTTTTAATGATGATTTTGAATAAAATTTGTGCAAGTTTATATTTCATGTATCATTTATGTCAAGTCTTCAAATGCATTTATAAAATGTAATGTAATATTGAATCAAATTAGTTTGACGGAATGACGTCATTGCTCACAAGTTCAGTGTTCAATATTACTGTGAAACTATTTCACAAATACATTTGTTTGTTTATTTGTTTTCAGGCATGTAACAGAAGCCGACATCCAAAGCATAGAAAAAAGACTGCTACAGACATTAGACAGAATTATTGCTAAAAAGAAAAAGTAAGTTAACATGTGTGATGTTAAACTGTAAGTCATCTTGAAAACCTGGTGTTAATCCACCTGTTAGATTATGATTAGATCTAGTAGCGTTTAATGATGTACTCTATACCTAGTCATTATTTGACTACTATTAAATTGTAAATGAGATGGTGTGGTCAGAAAGTAAAGTGTATGACTGCAAACCCAAAAGCCTGAGTTCTGATCGTGGTCTTGAGTCTGTATGACATCCCTGAGTCTACCCAGCTCTTATGGGTACCTGACATGTGTTGGGGAGAATAACGTCTGGGCATATTGCTAACCACACTATCCCATCATATGCAGAGGTCACTGAAACAAGTGACCTCTACTTCACTTGCTCCATGGACATGAATAGTACTTTACTTTTTTTGTTTTTACTAATAAATTGTGTCTTCACATTTGATATTTGTTTAGCTGAACCTTTTTTTAAAGCAGATTCTGTATAATTGGTTTTTGAAAACTTTTAAAAGCTATCTGATAAATATTTCTAAATTTTGTGTCATCTTGTTTATTCTTTTGACAGAATAGCCTTATCAGAGAGAGACAGACTAAGACAAGCCAGTCTGTCTACACCATCTAAAGGTATATGGGGTCTCCTTAAAAGTGCCGCCACAAGTGTCAGTGCTACCACACCAAGTATCCTTACAAGTAATTTGTTATTTAGTCACATCACTCACTTCTGTGATATATGTTTATCTTAAAATTTGATTTAGTAATTTCTTTTGTGGCTGTGTATTCTTTTGGTACTGTATGGCAGGATGGTAGGGCACGCACCGGCTTATCCCAAAGTCTGGCGTTCAGATTTTTTTGTATTAATGGGTGTGGGGAGGTGAAGGTTGTTGGGCATATTCCTTTGACTGTTCCTTTATATGCTGAGGTCACAGAAACAGGTGAACTCTTATTTAATCAGTCCCATGGATTTCCAGGTCCAAATGGGTAACTTTACTTTCTTAATATTTATTCTTGTTAGTTACAAATTTAATTTATAAATTTCACCCACAGTGTATTTAAACTAAGTGATTTTACTTTAAATTTGAAAAAAAATCAACTATACAACAGAGAACTTGAATTATAAAATGGAATTTATCTATTTGTTTCTGGTGTGTTATATTGTTTATTATGTAATGTTTTGGAGCCCATGATAGCCATTTAAAACTACTGTTAAGTAGATTGTTGTAAGTGTTGAAACTTTTTTGCGTAATGCTATAAAACTTAACATTTAAAATACTTGGGACCATTGAAGCAAGAAACAGGTGCACTGGAGGAGCTGAGTCGTCAGCTGTTTTTGGAGACAGCGGATCTGCATGATGCTATGGTAAGTTTAACTAAGTCTAGAAAAGGTTTAGCCATACCACATTACAGTTGTTTGGGGGTTAAGGGTTTGGGTTAGGTTAAATTTTTAAACTGTAGTTCATCTCTGTCAACAGCGCTGGTGAAACTTAAAACAAAACTTAACATAGTGGGAGAGGTTTTTTTTTATCTTTATGGGTTAATTTATTTGTTGTTTTTATTGTTTTTTTTTTAATTTTGTGTATACCTCTTTTGGTCAATCTATTGTAAAGATGTTAAAAAAGTATCACTGCATTTATTACAAAATAGAGTTGACTTCTCAAAGACCTTTGAGGGGAAAAATTCATTTAACTTAAAATAAGAATAAATAAAATTTAATTTTGAAAATTTATAATTTATTATTTTCTGTTGTTTTTTGTTTATAGCATGTATGAATGCTTTCCTTACAGGACAGGATAGAGTACTCAAAGACTTTCAAGGGGAGATACTTTAATGTCATGGGTCACTTTTTCTCACTTTATTGTGTATACAAGATTTTCATGGTAAGCTAAAGCTAGATATAATAGTTACTTAATTAAAGTATCCTCATTAGACCTAGCGATCCGTTGGGCAGATGAAGTACAGTTCATATGTTTCTTAACCTCGGCATATGAAGAAAAGATGTGGTTAGCACTTTGCCCAGCCGCCTTTACTTTCCCTAACATGAGTTAGGTATTCATCAGAGCTGGGTGGACTCAGGGACATTCTGCTGACTTGGACCCGGATTTGAACTCGAGACTTTCGGGTTAGCAGCCTTGTGCTCTACCTCTTAGGCCACGCCATCCTATAGAATAGTTACATACTCTGATAATATTTATAAAGCATTGTTGGTATGTAGAGGGTGGGAAGCAGACTATATTTCTGAAGTAGCAATATTGAGAAGAAGTGTTATTTCATGCCAAAAGTAAACACATGTACAGAATATAGCCCTTGTAAATACAGGTTAGTTTTGGCCACATGGGATCCAAGCCCAGCATTGAAATAACACCTAAAGTCAATATTGCTGTTTTAACTGAAACTTTGTTTTTTCAATAAAAGTCTAGTAGGGTTCTGCCTTTATTTAAAGATTTTAGATGGTTAGAACTTGGAAATTAAAAAATGTAATCTTTATGTTCTTTACATTTTATTAGGCAACAATCAACATTATTTTTGATAGAGTTGGAAAAGTTGATCCAGTTACAAAAGGAATAGAAATAGCTGTCAAGTATTTTGGATTTGAACTTGATGTAAGTACTTCGTGTCATCAGAACTGTTCAAAAGATTTGAAATAGTTTTTCCATATCTTTTCTACTAGTATAAGTTTTTATTTAACTGAATACAGTTCTATCAAGTTGGGATATGGCACTTTATGTTCATATATTAATGTTCTTATTTTGTAGATCAAGTTTTGGTCACAACAGATCTCATTTTTACTTGTTGGTGTTATCATAGTAACATCTATTAGAGGCTTTCTTATAACACTGACTAGGGTAAGTTGTGTTATCTTTGGTTAGTTGTCTCCCTTTAGTTATTATTTTTAATTGTTGCAACTTAGTATAAATTAACTTAAAGGCGTTTGGCTATATGTCAATAATTTGAATGATTACAGGCAAGACTATCATTTAGAATATATTTAAAAATCATCATCATTCCTTTGTGGCCCCTGGGGAGCAAAGGGCTTCAACCACACATCTCCAGTGGACTGGGTTTTGGGCTGCCCCCTTTATCTGTGCCCATGTGAGCCCAGCTGTTTTCGCTTCTTCTTCAACCGTTCTTCTCCATGTCTTCTTTGGCCGGCCCACCCTCCTCTTAAAAATATCTGTTTTAATATTAAAAATATCTGTTTTAATTATTTAACTGATTTTTTTTTTTTCAGTTTTTCTATGCAATAGCCAGCAGCAAATCTTCCAATGTTATAGTTTTATGTTTAGCTCAAATTATGGTACGCCATTTATTTTTCTACTGTTAATATTGTAACACTAAGTTTTTAATAGATCATTATCTACTGCTCTAGTTGAACCATGTTATGACTGACCAAATAGGTGTCTGCATAATTTTTTCTATGTTTTTATTGCCTTAAGTTAAATTTGTGATGTATTTGTATAATCAGTTTGAGTTATTTATTGATATTTATATTTAAAAAAAATAATGCTTGAAGAATAAGTCAGAAATTAGCAGAAATATTTCCTGGAAATTAGAAAATTATTCTTTTTGAGCAAAATTTCAAATCCCTCCAAAACATAATTGATTAAATGTGCTTGGGCTCCAGGCAATTTGATTCTTGCCCTTTGTAATACTTTAGCTTACACAGCCATGGTCCCCCAGTGTAATGTGTAATATCTCTCTCCATAGGGCATGTATTTTGTGTCCTGTGTCCTGCTGATGAGAATGAACATGCCTCAAGAATACAGGTATTCCAAGTTTAACAGTTGATTCAACACATTTTATTGTAGAGTGCTAATGGGAAAGTAAAAGCAACTAGAGTGGGTCCATGACAAATCTCCATTTCAATTCATTACCAACCTGCCATTCCACCTCAGAGCAGTTACCCCTCTCGTCATTACCCAGTTTAATTACACCCTGGCAATATCCCTAGAATGTAATAATTACCTTTTATAAACGTTACAGGCAAAATGAGAAATACTACATTTTACACAACGACTGAAATAATCCCAAGCAGTGACAGTATAGAATAGGAAGATTCCATCCAGAATATTGCCTAACCTAATCCCAGCTCCATTTCTTACATTAGTGATAATCCTAATATTACCTTACATTTTTGGTTAGGTTTAGTGTTATGATTTGGCTTTGGGTCAGTTATCAACAGAGGAGGGGGTAATTTCTTACTCCTGTTTTTGGGCTGAAGCGCCTTTGACGCAGTAGTAATGTTCAGGTGAGGGGAATTCAGGGAAGGGTAATGTCCTTCACTAGTTGAGGATAGTGCTGACCACACAATATACAGAGGTCAGACAATCATATAAACTCTACTTTATCTGCCCCATGGATTGTTTGGTCTGCAAGGGTGCTTTACTTTTTATTTTTTATTTTATATGTTTTACACTTGTGATTTTACACGGAAAAACTCTAACAAGATAAAATTGGTTTAACAGGCTGATCATAACAGAAGTACTGGGTGATCTTCAGTTCAATTTTTATCAGAGATAATTTTTTTTTAAATTTATTTATGTGTTATACAATTGATTTAACACTAAAAAACTCTAACAAGATAAAATTGGATTTAACAGGCTGATCATAACAGAAGTACTGGGTGACCTTCAGTTCAATTTTTATCACAGATGGTTTGATGTGATATTCCTGGTCAGCGCCTTGTCCAGCATTGGGTTCTTGTACATAGCCCACAATCAATCGGCAGAGAAAACCTTACACAGATGAAAAAATGTTGCTCTGTTGCAATCATGTTTGGGGTTGCTTGCTCATTTATTGTTTGGCGTTAATGGAATGTGGTGTGTGTGATATGACAAATGCTAGTTTGTCAGCTTTTATATGTATTCTATATTTAGTGTATTTGTTAATGAATTATGCTGCTCTTTTGAATTTAATTTATGATTTTAAAAGAATACAAGATCACTTTTTTAATCATTAGATGAGAAACTGCAGACAGTGAATGAAGATCATATTTCACTGTTTTATTATAGTTATAACTATATGGTTACATGGTATTTAGAAAAATTTTGTAACTTAAAAAATGTTTGTGTGTAGACTCTTAAACTTTTAAAAATTATTTTTTAATTTTTTTTTGTGATAAAGATTCCAAGCTTTGTATTACTTTTTTTCTAATATAAAATTCACACTGTCTTAACATGTTTTTATATACCTTTTCTGCCAAGTCTTGATTAATCTTAGCAGCATATCTAACCACACTCTTAATAAAGTTACTTCCCTTGTGCTGGTTCAATAGTTTTACTACATAGTGTCCAGCAGGTAAACTGTAACCAGGCTACCTGACCTTTTTATACATTAGAGCTAGCTTTGCTTGGGTCATTACATAAAAGTTGTGCATACACTCTCCAAACCTAGGACAGGTACTCATCTGAGCTGGTTGGACTCAGGTGTGTTCTATTATTTCAAACCTGAGACTGATAGTGAATTATCACTGTGATGCTGTGTTATCATACACTTCAGAGTTCAACCACTCCTCTTTATTAAGTCTTTATATTAATTTATAACACCACTTTATTAAGTCTTTATATTAATTATAAGATGCCTAGTATATTCCTAAAGCGATGTTAACACTTCTTCCTTTTTATTTTATCAGTTAATTACAAATTTGCAATTTATTGTATAATTCCATCATTATTGTTGCAAATGTGTATATATGTACAATGTATGAAAAGAAACAATGGTTCTGCTTTAAATTGTTTTTTTTTTCTTTTTCATATCATTTATTCATTCATTTTTCCTTTGTGGCCTTGGGGAGCAAAAGGCTGCAGTTACACCTCTCTACCAGTCTCGGTTTTGGACTGCTCCCTTTATCTATGCCCTCAAGAGCCCAGCGGTCTTTGCCTCTTCCTCTACCGTTTTTCATGATCTCTTTGGCCGACCCATATTGATATACTGTTTAAGAGTATTAGTACTAGGAAAAAATAGCTTGTAGATTTTGGGAATAGACAGATATAACAATTATATTACTTCAAACACATAAGATACACTTATTCTTATGCTATATTGATCAGAACATAAGACAGTTATCTTGTTTTTCTAATTTTAATGTAATATTTTTAATGTAATATCCTACTATAATGGCTCAAAATAACTAGATTTGTGACATGTATACTATGCATGTCTAGAGAAAAGAACTTGTACATTTTAAAAATATATTATTAATTTGTTGTCAGTCTTTTTTTCTGGACATTTATACTACACTAGCCTATCCGTCCCGGCGCGAATAGAAGAAAATCTGACGAAATAGGCCTTATATAAGAAGGGTTTCAATAGTTTCATGAATGCTTTACCCATCCCTTATTCTTGGACGCGTGACCGTCTTTTCTAAAAGTGAGTTATTTAAATGTAAACAATGCCTGCGCTTGGATCATAAATATCGGGACACGGGTTTACCTACACTACCGCATGAAAACCTTGAGTGTACATTAATCACTCACCGAAATAATGAGGTAGAACACTCTTCGGTGACCGCCCATGTGTCAGGGACTTAGAGGGGCGCTTTCAGGAGCCCCTCCCCCCCCCCCCCCCCCGATTACACTACCGCATAGGTGCAGCGTACGACCCTGGCTCCTTAAAACTAACAGGCGCCATCGTGCTCATAGGATAACCCAGAGTGCCAAATAGTATCCTGTTAACAATGATGCAGATTGCGTCATTCGCTAAAGTGACACAAATGAGCAGGATTTTTCCTTTAACTTTAACACGTAAAAAAAATTATTTGACGTGTTTTAAACATCAGTGTGACTGATGTAATATGTTAGCGCTACTAATGGTCTTCTATTATTAGATGCTCGATCTCAATTACTGATTGGATTGTCTAAAGTAGATGCTAACTGCATCATTTGCAAAGTGACGAAACTGTTTGGATTTTTACGGACAAAAAGAAACATCCCAGTTAATAATCTAACCTTGGTTAATTTTTCTGATTATTAAAATAAAACGTATTACATGGCCCTCAGCGGCTCATGTGAGCCTTTGGGGACGAAACGGAAATTTTTATTTGCAACCAAAATCGCACCCTACCAGGGCGCCGGCGGACACGCTTGATTCAATTTAGTAAGCGTTTGTAACGCTCCATCCTATTCATTGTCTATCACACTGTTTAGACTGATCGTAGTCGCCATAGCGCTCACGGGAAAGATCAGGGCGCCAAATCGCATCCTGCCAGGGTGCCGCCATGCAAAATTAACCGTACCCCCACCCAGAGGCGTAGCGATGGAGAGCGGGGGTGCGGACCGCACCGGGTGACACCATTTAGGGGGGTGACACCAATGCAAAAAATAGCAAAATATATAGAGAAAAACTTGAGGGGGGGGGGGGTGATGCAAATCGAAAGTTTGAGGGGGTGCAAATTGAAAGTTTGAGGGGGGGGGGGTGTGCAAATCCAAAATTTGAAAGTTTGTCCCCGGGAAGGGTCGCTACGCCTCTGGGGTGTGACATCATTAAGTGCCGCACCGGGTGACACCCGACCTCGCTACGCCACTGCCCCCCACCCCCCTCCCACCACAGAAACCTTCTCGGGAGTATTCATCAACTCCCTAAAGTTTTATGGCACCCGGATAAACTGTGTCGAACGGCAATTGTCTTTTATTTGTATTTACCGTATTTAGAGAAAAATCCCACCATCCCGTGGCGCCGCCCTTGCAAAATTCAGGGACACTCTAATGACTTTAACCCAGATTCAAACTCAAGACTTACGGGTAAGCAGTCTAGCTCTCTACCGCTAGCCCACTCAATCCCCTGTTACGTATGTTGCAAGTGTGAAAATGGTGTAATGGTAATGGACCATCATCCTTTTTAGTATTAATTCATATTTCATTAATATAAAAGCCACATTTGCTATCAATGCCTCGATCTCTAAGCCACAAGTGACCAGACCATTTCTGGGAACCAAGACACTTGTATCTTTTAAGCCAGTAAGCTGGACATTGACCCCATCCTCCTGATTGGATTTCCAGGCAGAGTTTCTTCCAGGCATCTCTCCGGGCCATCTCTTCAGCCCCTCCCCCCCCCCCCCGAAAAAAGTCTACCCCCCCCCTCCCAAACGAAATGGAATTTTATAGAAAATATATACATCTAACAGTGTCCGCCCCCCCCCCCCCCCCCGCGAAAATTTCAAGTGCCTCCACCCCCCCCCCCCCCCGGAGAAAAAAGTCTGGAAGAATCACTGGTTCCAGGTCCTACACCTGGTCTAAAAGGGCGGTTGTGGGCTGAGTTTTACGTGTCTAAATATGATCTGGGTCAAAATTAGTGAGGGAAAACAAAGTACCCCACAACCTTAATGTGTAGGGATAGACGATTGGTGAAGGCTAGACCATTTTTCTTGTGCTTAGTAAACTAAAGTTGGAGAAGTGTCGTTCGCATATGACGTCACACAGATGGGGCGCGGACAATCTGCAGCCATTAAAAACATTGGGTTGAGTGGTCTTTAATTTTAATTTTGGATTGTAAAGTAGTTAATTTTCGTTATGATTATTACTACTTTAGACAATAAAATGTAGTAGTGAGACTTTATTTGTAAGGTGAAATTGTCTCTCCTGTGTTGGGCCGTGGCTTATTCTGCGATTTGTTACGACCAGTAACGGGGGGGGGGTAAACTTGCGTATAGTTATATATAAACTACCCCAACGTAGAATCATTTCATATAAATCTCTATATAGATCTAAATATAAATAAATATAACAGCTCGGCCGCGTAAATAATTGAAGCAATAATATTATAGTTTTGTTTCGGGAACATTTTAAACACTATTTTGAGAAGTACTTTTAAAAGGATACAAGGAAGATAAATCATGTGATTAGGAAAACCCGAAAACACAGCAGCGAAATGTAAATAAATAGATTCTAGATGTCTGATGTAGGCTACTCCTTGTCACATCTGCAGTGTGAACTTTTAAAATTTTATATATGGGTGACAATTTAAAACAAATAATCTGTCTTCAAAGTTATATGCACTAAACCCCACATGAAATGGAGTCTTTTGTGTCGTTCAGATGGATGAATCGTCCTTTTCACTTTTTTTGTGTTTTAACAATCAGCTGCTTGTGTTTACCAACAACTCTGTCAACTGTACCAGAAATAAAAACCATTGAAGACAATCGCAAAAACGTATTCAAGACTAACACTCAGTATTTTACTCAAAGTTATAAAAGTTTTGATGGATTTTCAACTACATTTTCTTATTCTCCAAATGCTGTAAATCCAGAACCAGATGTTGTTGTAAATCTTGAAGACAATCATGAACATGAAGACAAAGTTTTACATTCTTCTTCACAGAAAGACAAAAATAACAAAATTAATAACCACTCACCACTTTTAAGCTCCAAAGATGTCATTCTAAATAAAATTAAAATAAACAAAGAAAATAACCTCTTTTTAGATCTTAATAATAGGCCTTTGCCTTTGCCAAATGACGATGAAAATAATAACACTGTTAAAACAATTGAAGTAAATGCTACTTTTGGAGAAATGTATTCAAACAATTCTGTCAATGTTTTGCAACAAGTTTTGTTCATCTACCACTATGAAATACAAAATAAGGTTTGATATATTATTTATTTATGTTACAACATTAGTTATTAAGTTGCTAGTTACTATGATTAAGTTTATCTACTCTTTAATAAGTATACAATAGTTCTCTAACACAGGGTCATATCAAAGTTATTTATGATGGTATAAAAACATGATGTGTCAACAGATAACATTCAAGTAGTGTAAAGTTTATGTTGTAGTTGTCCAGTTAGGTTAGGTTAGGCTTGTTTATTCATGCTACTAGAATAATTTTGGAACAGAACTACTAAGCTTGCCTAATTCCGAATGCAACAAAATTAATTGATTGAAACATGGAATTAGAATCACTTTGAACAGAAATTTTATTTTACCCTAAATAATAATTAGTATCAAAAAGATTATACATGTGAATAAAAATAAATTATACTTATAAGTCTGGTACTACAATAGAAATCATTGTAATCCCACCACCTATAAGTACCCGTCTTAGTTGTCAAATGCCTACTAATGTCATTCATCCCAATCTTAACCACAACCAGTGCAAATGAGTTACTAACAATACCATCAGTCAAAATGTCTTTGATACGACTGCATAGGAGAACATCACAATAATATAATTCTTTCAGTAATGTTTAACAGCCTAACCATGTTTGTCGATGATATCTTATTGATTCCTTTCATTCTCCTTAGACCACAGCTATCAGAGTGAGTGTTACCAGTGATAATTTTTCAGAAGAATACCCGGTAATGTGTGTAGCAAGGCAGCAGGAAAGTATTTTATCTTGGCAAATACCCCTTGCTGTTGGCGACAGGTAACTATAACCATGTTTGACCCATTGAATGTTGTAAGAGGGTCCACATTGTTGGGTCGTTAAAGCTCATGGTTGCTAAACCGTGAATCCTGAGTTTGAAACCCTGGGCAGATAAGGCTCAATAAATGGGGACAGCAACCCATCTTGTATAGAAAATTCCAAAATCATACAAATGCTGCCTTGTAGTTGTATGTAAGTAGAGAAATGCTATGAAAGCAAGTCCAAAATGAAAACAGGCTGAAATCAGAGTCAACAGCATGTAGGGCACATAACAGGTTGACACATAGCTCTTAATTGTGTTGGAGGAAATCCTGTTCTACATTAAAGTTAAAAGTGAAGAAGAAGAATTTTTATTTTTTTATATCCATATTACATTATTCCTGTATATTTTTCTGATTTAATTCTTGAATTTTAAAACTGAAAACTAATATATATTTTGCAGCTACTTATACAAATCAGTCAGCCGAACACTGTGTCCCATTGATGAAAGTAAAAGGAAGACCATTGACAAAAACCAGCGCATTTACCTCACAGTGTCCAGTATGTGTTCAAACTACAAATACTTTCACCTCACAGCAAACATTCTCACAGATTTTGAGATTACGTAAGTATTATCTTAGACCACTGACCTAGCTCAGTCACTGCTTAAATCTTTTTGATTAACTTAAGTTATTGAGTCATACTTAAAATTAAAATGTGAATGGAATAGTTAACAATTACAAGAGATCAACACGGCCTATTAAATTTAATCAAAATATTACAATTAAGAATCCACAGCTGAAATAAAATAATCCCACTTACCCAAAAAAAAAAGTAAAATAACTATGATGGTAACATAGCAACTATAAAAAAGTGAATTAGTATGTATACTGAATGTAAACTTTAATTAAAAATTTTTGTATTGAAATAGTTAGTAAGTATGTAATTACAGTGTAATTAATATCAGATGTGAAAATGTTTCAGGCATGAAGTCCCCAGAACTTTTAATCTAACAGTTTGGGAACCAACTTACTTCATGTACACATTCCCAGCTGGTGTTTCCTCTGTTCTGCTGAAGGTTACATCCCAGTCTCACATCTGCATGACAGTATCTGTTCAAAAAATTAAAGTGAGAATTTAATTCTTTAGTCTTGGGTAGAAATATCTTTAAATTTAAATTATCTTTAAAACTTAATTTTTATTTAAAGTGAATTATTTTATAAGTGTTTTTATTTTATAATAGAATTTCTCATAATGTTCCTTTTTTGTTTCTCATTTTCTATTTTTAGTTGTTTACATTCTCCTATGTCTTTTGAGAATTTGATTTGGTTTGTTGCTTCTCTTTGTTTGATTGTTTTTGAAAACTCTAAACCTTTTCTGTCTCTGCTAAAAATTTATCCTTAACTGTCTCTGCTAACAATTTATCCTTAACTGTCTCGGCTAACAATTTATCCTCAACTGTTTTTGCTAACAATTTGTCCTTAACTGTCTCTGCTAACAATTTATCCTGAACTATCATTGCTTACAATTTATCCCCAACTGTCTTTGCTAACAATTTATCCTGAACTGTCTTTGCTAACAATTGACCCTGAACTGTCTCTGCCTACAATTTATCCTTAACTGTCTCTGCTAACAATTTATCCTTAACTATCTTTGCTAACAATTGATCCTGAACTGTCCTAAACTGTCTCTGCTAACAATTTATCCTTAACTCTCTCTGCTAAAAATTTATCCTGAACTGTCTCTGCTAACAATTTATCCTCAACTGTCTCTGCTAACAATTGATTTGCAACTGTCTCTGCTAACAATTGATCTCTAACTGTCTTTGCTAACTATTGATCTGTAACTGTCTTTGCTAACAATTGATCTGTAACTGTCTTTGCTAACAATTGACCCTACTCTGTTTTTGCCAACAGTGTCCTGTATTTGACCTGGCTAACAACGTGGAATTTGAGGGCAAACATCAAACCATGTCCACGCAAGCAGCCATGTTTTTAGAGGTCAGTCAAGCCAAATTGTATTTATGACATCTCAAACTGTATACATTATGACATGCAGTATGTTCATACTGTTGTTAACTGTTCAGTGTTCAGAAGATTATAAATATAATTGTATATAAAATATACACTTCCAGATCTATCTTTAGGGTAGATGAAGTAGAATTCACCTATTATTTGGGACTTTGCAAATGAACGGATAGTATTGACAATACTATGGCCAGGCACTTTGAAGTTTATATATCATTACTTAAACCCAAGATTACTGTATAATATGTATATCTGTGTTTTGATAATGTTATCCTATCTGTATCAGTTGTAGCTAGAATCAAGCTATGGTATAGCTCTAGCTCTTGGGTATGATTAGCTTTGGTTTAGATAACCATACATCCTTAGTATTTATTTTCTTTTATTGTTAAAAGTAATTATTACTTTTGTTACATCCTTAATGTTTATTTACTCTTGTTTTTACAGAAGGATGATTATGACGACCAAGGAGGATTCTATGTGGTGTTTATTGTGAAACCTGATAATGAAGTCTGTGAGGGTTTCTTGAAGCCCACCCAGTTAATGCCAGCTGGAAATGTGACAGATATTAGGAAAGTGGTGACTGTAGTGGTTAAAGAAACAATTTCATGTGAGTTGATTGGGTTGTTTAAAAAGTGGTCACTGTAGTGGTTAAAGAAACAATTTCATGTGAGTTGATTGGGTTGTTTAAAAAGTGGTCACTGTAGTGGTTAAAGAAACAATTTCATGTGAGTTGTTTAAAAAGTGGTCACTGTAGTGGTTAAAGAAACAATTTCATGTGAGTTGATTGGGTTGTTTAAAAAGTGGTCACTGTAGTGGTTAAAGAAACAATATCATGTGAGTTATTTGGGTTGTTTAAAAAGTGGTCAATGTATTGGTTAAAGAAACAATTTCATGTGAGTTGATTGGGTTGTTTAAAAAGTGGTCACTGTAGTGGTTAAAGAAACAATTTCATGTGAGTTGATTGGGTTGTTTAAAAAGTGGTCACTGTAGTGGTTAAAGAAACAATTTCATGTGAGTTGATTGGGTTGTTTTAAAAGTGGTCACTGTAGTGGTTAAAGAAACAATTTCATGTGAGTTGATTGAGTTGTTTAAAAAGTGTTCACTGTAGTGGTTAAAGAAACAATTTCATGTGAGTTGATTGGGTTGTTTAAAAAGTGGTCACTGTAGTGGTTAAAGAAACAATATCATGTGAGTTGATTGGGTTGTTTAAAAAGTGTTCACTGTAGTGGTTAAAGAAACAATATCATATGAGTTAATTGGATTGTTTAAAAAGTAGTCACTGTACTGGTTAAAGAAACAATTTCATATGGGTTAATGAAATTATTAAAAATATGTTCCCTGTACTGGTCATAGAAAACTCTAACCTAATGGCTGTACTGTACTTGTCTAATTATTTAAAAAAATAACAATATTTTCTTCTAACAAGACATAACATTATTCCTTATATCATGCCGATTATTCTTATTTTATACAGACATTTTGTCTAACATAAAATCCCATTATACCTCTACAGTGTCACAGTATATTAAAGCAATTGTAGCAGCTGTTCTAGTTTTTGGAGCATTTTATCTAATTGCTGTCATCATTGGAGTGGTTTATGCTGGATGGTAAGTACCAATGTTGTAGTTGGGTTCAAAACAGTCAGTCACATGTTTATGGGAATAGTCCTTAACTCTTTTGCTTCGGCTTATTGTTTGAACATATCATTATTAAAAATATGCAACTTTATATGGTCTTATGGCCAGCACTGAATCAGTAAAAGTTGAGTTATGCATAAAACATGATGTGAAATTTGATCACTAAGTAAAATAAAATGTAAAATGTCACATTTAGGTAATCAATCATCTAATTGTGAATTCTCTCCCTGATTTTGGCATATGAATATGGACCATCATCAGTTTCTGAAAACGCAAAAAAAAAACCAACATAATTTCAAAACATATTGTGACCAAATGCCAATGCTTTGAATGATTTATCCCTTGTCAAAAAATAAGAAAATATATTTAGCAGCTTCTGATCCACACATTTCAAGATGGAATGTTTGACAAAAATGGCACATTGATGAAAAGATCTCATTTTTGTGATTATACTCTTCCACTGCTCAGTTTATCTGTTTCAGTAACAAAGTAATTCAATCATTCATCATTAATTAAACTGAAAAAATGCTGTGACTTTAAATTTTCAGTGAAAGCGATACTTAACCAACTTTTAAACCAACATACACATTAAAGATAGTAAATACTTATAAAGTACGAGCCGATCCGCGGCGTATCATATGCCGCTATTTAGTTGTTTTATTTTCTACTTTTCAGTAGGTCTAATTCATAATTTGTGAATTCGACAGTACCAGTGCTGCCACTGAAAATATTTGCTTTAAAACACTATCAGTAGGTCGTTAAGGACGATACTACCCCCACCCTCATTTCCCCCAACCCCTACTCTACACCTCCCCCACGTGAAAGCAGCCTCCTCTTAGTTACCTCCCCTAAGTTTAAAATCGTTTCAAGCTAAATTATCTGCCCCTAATAGCCGTCACTAAACCCGGCTCTATGATTGTAATCATTTAGCGTGAACCACAGCTCACCAGACCATGTGGGGGTGGGGGTAGTAGGGATATGCCTAGAGAGGAAGATAGGGGGCTGCTAGGCGCGCTTACAGCTTGGTGTTTTCTAGAAGAGAATTATATATATAGATAGTAGGATAAGATGGTGTGTTGTGATCTACTTGTTATTTAGTTAAGGGACAGAATTTTATGATGAAACATATTTGTCATGCAGAGTAAAAGGGTTCACCACATAGACCATTAATAATGTAACTACTTTAATATTAATTCTTTTTCTTCCTCTTCATTCATAATTGTAATTTTGGAAGGGATTTCTTCCAAAATAATGAAGTATTACGTGTGAACTGTTTATGTGTTATGTAGGCCGCTAGCTCCTATTTCAGCCTGCTTTTCTTTTTGGATTTGCTTCATCCTTTCAAGAACAAACTACTAGTCAGTAGTTATTTGATTTTGGAGTTTTCTCTCCTAGATGAGCTGCTGTCCCCAACTCTTAAGCCTCATCAGCCAGGTGGGGTTCAAACTCCAGACTTTTCGGTTTAGCAACCATGAGCTTAACTGACCTGTCCACGCCGACTCCCTAATATTAATTAATTTTAATGACTTATACATTTAGATTTTTAAAGTTACTCTTTTTACTCATGACATTTTTTTCTCTTTCAGTGGACTACATAAAGGACTGGATGACTTGACAGAGGAAGAGAGAGGTAATTTGTTTTTTCAAGTTGTATGTGAATCCAATGCTTAATTTTTCATTATACAACAAACCCACAGGCGTTCTATCACTAAACATACTTTAATGCTATTCTGGCAATATTTTCAATGAATCCCAAAATAAAGAATTAAAAAAAAGTAATGTTAACATTAAGTTGAACTGAGTACTAATATATTTTTTTAGCTAGCAAACTGAATGTGTATTTAAGTCAGGTTTTAAAAATGTAGCCTGTTATTTATAACAATTTAAAAATAACAATTTATTTTATAACTTTCAGTCAAGTTAAAATAGTCAACCTAAACTTATGGCTTTTCTTTTTTTTATCAACTTGCCATTTACATGTGTGACTGGTTCCAAAAATCATGATACCTAAGTTTTTTTTTTATGTTAAGGATTAGTATTAGACTCTGGATTGTTGTATCATTATTATAGGTACAGGTTATAAATGTGGCTTATTCACATCTTTCATCACAACTAAATCCTAAAATCAACAGTTAGATAATCTATGACAAAATTAATTCATACAAATTATTAATGTATTTATTTATATATAATATACTTATGTAACGCTGTACATACTTTTCAACTGGCTTCTCTGCTAGTGCTTTTTACAAATGATGCTGCATGGAAAACTTTTATTTCCAGAAAACACACGTTTACTGTTTGAAAACAGTTTGCCAAATGTTTTGGTTCTCCCTGGTAACAACTGTTTCACTTCTTTCATGTTATCATTTTTGCATGCTGTAAATTTTGGACCATTTTATTTTGGTACATAACCAGTGGTTCAAGTTGTATTGTTCTGTTAACAATTTAACAAGAAGGTTTTATTTCATTTATTTTTTTCTAGTATTTTAATGTTGTCTTGCATGTTGTAACCTGCATGAAGTTGACATATATTTTGTATTGATTCTAACACCAATTTCAGTAGCTTTTATTTACTACAAGCCTTCAGTATGTAGCAGGTAGCTTTGGTGTAAATATAAATTTTGTAGTTTATCACTTACAGAAAATTAAGTTACTATGACTCAATAAGTTTCACTAACCTTTATTAGCTATCAGTGTTTAATCCTATCAACTTAAAGGAAAGATACATTAATATATTCTCCCAATACAGTGAAACATACTCTTTGTTGCATAAATTTTAAAACTATTTAGAACAGATGTAAAAAAAAAACACTTCAAACCTGAAATATGTACAACCTTGTACTTTAAACGAAATCTGTATAAACATAACTAAAAATTAAAACAATTTGTATACAGAACAAAACCATTAATAAACATAAAATAAGTTCTAAATGCCATTTTGTGAAATTAGTTTTTCATTATGGATTTCTTTGATTTAGACTTTCAAATTAAACTATTCTTTTCTTGAATTTATTATTGTTTTGATAATTAATTAATTATTGTTTTTATTATCAACAAGGAGTCTTGAAAAGTATTACCATAAACAATGTCTTAAAGTATAAAGATGTAACAAATTACTTCAGTTCTAGAAAAATGAACATAAAAAAATGTGTTTGATTTGGAAAACGTTTTCTTCATAAATTTTTGTTCATTACCCTAATAAAAAAATCTCTTTACTTTCTGGATATTATTTAATAGATTGTAACGCCTCTAATTTAATGCTTCTGTTTTCATTAATTGCATGTCAAGATTGTTTGTAGAGGAACAAAACTGACCTGCATGTTGCTATCCAGCATTAACTTTGTTATTATTTTATTCAACCAAAATTTTTAAAAAGTTGAACTTTTGCAAACTTCTATTATTTCGAATTGTATTATCCAGTGCACCACTTAATGTACCAAAAATAATGTTAAAAGTTGTTTATTAAAATAATTCATTAATACTTACAATTTATTATAATTGACTAAATACTTTATAGATCATATTGTAGATTAGTTTTGATTTACATTAATTAATCACATTTTGTTATAATTTTTTACAGTTTAAATTTAAGACACTGAGCGTCTTTAACAATTTAGCTTTTAATTGAGTACAAATATATGAGCAAATTAAAATTCTGGATTGTGATCTCTGCAGGGGATGAGAACAATTTCATTAACAGAACTCACCGCCATGAGAGTTATGGAACTTTATCTGAACCTAGATCCAGTCCAGGTTTGTATCTTTCAATCCAATTATTATATTGCTCTTTAAAGGGATTTCTCAGTTTTCTTTAAATTAGTCTTGATGACTGTCAAAAAGAAAAATAATTTATTTCAAGCTACAAAAAATGACTGTTATATTGTAGTGCTTATTCATCTCAAAGTAACTTGATTTCCTGAACAATCGATTTGACATATTTTTAAAATTTTATTATAACCCATTTCATATTGAAATATTAAAACTTGTCATATTTAAATGAGATATATCTTGGTACATTCTAAACTTGTCATATTTAATTGATACAGCTTTTCTTGGTACATTCTCAACTTGTCATATTTAATTGATACATCTTTTCTTGGTGCATTCTCAACTTGTCCTATTTAAATGATAAAACTTTTCTTGGTACATTTTTCAACTTGTCATATTGAAATCATACAACTTTTCTTGGTACTTTTTAACTTAACATATTGAAATCATACAACTTTTCTTGGTACTTTCTCAACTTGTCATATTGAAATCGTACAACTTTTCTTGCTACTTTCTCAAACTTTAAAAAGTCTATGTATGAAATGTTGCAGACCAGGGAATGAGTGATGTGACAACTGACCGTGAGGAATCTTCAGAGTCCTCCTCTTTAGATGAGTCCACCATAGACTTTGTCCCTGATGCTGACCTTGAAAAGGACATCTTCAGGACAAAGGTAACTTTGGTCATGTATCATTATCTGTTGAATACTGTCAGTGTTTTTCAATGCCATAGTTCTCCTATACAGTTAAAATATTTTTGTCATTTTATTTTTTTACTATCATTGTCCTGTTCTTCTTACCATAGTTCCTTTTAGTTTCTTCTTCTTCGTTCTTAATTTTTACTGTTGGAAGGGATCGAGCCTTATCTGCCAGAGGGTTTGAACTCGAGACTTTGTTCGAATTTATCAACCATGAGCTTTTGCTGACTCGACCACACCGCCATCACAATTAAGGATACGTGTCAACTGGTTATGTGCCATTGAGGCCATTGACGCCGATTTTAGCCTGCTTTTCTTTTTGGATTTGCTTCCATAGCCTTTGTCCAACCAAGAACAAACTACCAGACAGCAGTTGATTGATTTTGGAGTTGTCTCTCCTAGAAGAGTGGCTGTCCCCAGCTAACGAGCCTCATCTGCCCGAGGGTTCTAACTCGAGATTTTTCGGTGTAGCAACCATGAGCTTTACCGACTCGACCATGCCAACCCCACATTTAGTTGAAGACTTCAGATATTTAATGATTGGAATTTGTACTGATTTGTATTTTCTTGTGCTACTCCAGACTGCTTTGTTTGTTTCTGATCTGGCGAGGAAGAAAAGAAAAAAGCTATCTAAAACCTACAAGCTTTATTACTGGTAAATACTAATCAGATTTTTATTTTTACATTATCCAATTTTTGTGGTGTTATGCTTATTGCATGATATATATGATAGGTTTTTTATCACATAATGCTGAATATTGCTATTCCATCATCATCATCTTTTCCCGTTTGTGCCCAACGCTCATGGGATAGATGAGGTAGAGTTCACCTAGACACAAAACTTTCGGGTTAGCAGTCATACGCTTGGCGTGGCCTAGCAGTAGAGCGGTAGACTGCTAACTCGAAAGTCTTGGGTTCAAGTCACTAGAATGTCCCTGTCCACCGAGCTCAGGTGGGTATGTAACTCATGTAAGGGAAGGTATAGTGCTGACCACACTATCCCTTTGTATGCCGAGGTCACAGAAACAACTACTCTATTTGCCCCATGGACTGTCAAGTTCAAAAAAGGAACTTTACTTTCAGGCATATGCTCTATCGTCCAAATACGTCATCCCTTTGCAGGTCCATAGTGGCCCATTAACTAATTGACACTAAATCAAAGACAAAGTCCTGAAAGAGGCCCTAGACTAGTGGTTATTAATGACAGATGAGGCTCGTTAGCTGGGGACAGCCACTCTTCTAGGAGGGACAACTCCAAAATCAAACAACTGCTGCCTTGTAGTTTGTTTTTGGTTGGACAAAGGCTATGGAAGCAAATCCAAAAAGAAAGGCAGGAAGAAATCGAAGTCAATGGCCTCAATGTCGCATAAGGGATCCCTTCCAAACCTAAAATTAAGAGCGAAGAAGAAGAAGAAGAGGTTCTTAACCTACGTTCAATCGAACTCTAGGGGTTAGTCAGCCTTAGGGGTTTGGGGGAGGTCAAGACACACACCCGACTCATATGATTCATGACTAAATTTTGTCAGATATTTGCACATATTAGGTTTAGTACTTTGAAAAAAGCTAAGAACCACTGCCCTAGATACAACTGTTTAATATTGAGTTTTAATGTTGTGGTCAGGTTTGATGAGAGTGAGTAAATTGTTTATTTCCCCAGGAACTTGGTGACCATGTCTATATTTTATGGTCTTCCAGTGGTGCAGCTGGTAATAACATACCAGAGGGTAACTATCTGTTTCATGTTTGTTTTATAGTTTAGTGGGACTTTGTACCAAGTTTAACTGGTCTGGAATAATACAGATGGTAATTTTCTGTCCAATGTTTGGTTTATAGGTTAGAAGGAATTTGTAAATAATAGATTTATCTGTTGATCATAGAAAATAAAACTAAGCGAATTCCTTAATTCACTATTAGTACTCAACACTGTATTTTTGTGGGCATTTCGTCGGCTTAAAATGTTTCTGACTTTGGATAATTTTTTAGAGATTTTTATCCCCATTTATAAAATATATTTTAATATAGGTAATTTGTGGTCATTTTATCTAAATATATCAAATATTTTAATATAGGTAACTTGTGGTTATTTTGTAGACATTTTATCTAAATTTATCAGATATTTTAATATTGGTGACTTGTGGTCATTTTGTAGGCGTTTCATCTAAATTTATCTAATATTTTAATATTGGTGACTTGTGGTAATTTTGTAGGCGTTTCATCTAAATTTATCAAATATTTTAATATTGGTGACTTGTGGTCATTTTGTCAACATTTTGTCCCCATTGATCAAATATTTTAATATTGGTGACTTGTGGTCATTTTGTCAACATTTCATCTAAATTTATCAAATATTTTAATATAGGTAGCTTGTGGTTATTTTGTAGACATTTTATCTAAATTTATCAAATATTTTAATATAGGTGACTTGTGGTCATTTTGTCCAATTTTTTATCTAAATTTATCAAATATTTTAATATTGCTAACTTATGTTCATTTTGTCGACATTTTATCTAAATTTATCAAATATTTTAATTTTGGTGACTTGTGGTCATTTTGTCGACATTTCATCTAAATTTATCAAATCTTTTACTATTGATGACTTGTGCCCATTTATAGACATTTACTACTGGTGACTGGTCATTTTATAGACATTTTGTCCCCATTCCCTTCCAGGTGCTGACCTCCACAGGTAACCAAGACATTTGCTACTACAACTTTGCCTGCTCTCACCCTCTCAAGTCCTACCTGAGTTCTTTCAATAACGTCTTCAGTAACATTGGTTACGTCCTGCTGGGTCTCTTGTTCATTGGCATCGTCTTCCGCAGGTAAGAGTTTAGTACAATACAGGTAAAAGTTAAGTACAATACAGGCAAAAGTTTAGTACAATACAGGTAAAAGTTTAGTGCAATACAGGTAAAAGTTTAGTACAATACAGGTAAAAGTTTAGTACAATACAGGTAAGAGTTTAGTACAATACAGGTAAAAGTTTAGTACAATACAGGTAAAAGTTTAGTACAATACCTGGTAAGATTTTAGTACAATACAGGCAAAAGTTTAGTACAATACAGGTAAGAGTTTAGTGCAATTCAGGTAAAAGTTTAGTACAATACCTGGTAAGATTTTAGTACAATACAGGTAAAAGTTTAGTACAATACAGGTAAAAGTTTAGTACAATACAGGTAAAAGTTTAGTACAATATAGGTAAAAGTTTAGTACAATACAGGTAAAAGTTTAGTACAATACAGGTAAGAGTTTAGTACAATACAGGTAAAAGTTTAGTACAATACAGGTAAAAGTTTAGTACAATACCTGGTAAGATTTTAGTACAATACAGGCAAAAGTTTAGTACAATACAGGTAAGAGTTTAGTGCAATTCAGGTAAAAGTTTAGTACAATACCTGGTAAGATTTTAGTACAATACAGGTAAAAGTTTAGTACAATACAGGTAAAAGTTTAGTACAATACAGGTAAAAGTTTAGTACAATATAGGTGAAAGTTTAGTACAATACAGATAAAAGTTTAGTACAATACCTGGTAAGATTTTAGTACAATACAGGTAAAAGTTTAGTACAATACAGGTAAGAGTTTAGTACAATACAGGTAAAAGTTTAGTACAATACAGGTAAGAGTTTAGTGCAATTCAGGTAAAAGATGGCAGAGCTTATGACTGCTAACCTGAAAGTCTTGAGTTTGGATGCCTGACTTGAGTACTTAGGACATCCAAGAGTCCACCCAGATCTAATGGGTACCTGACTTACATTAAGGGAAGTAAAGGTGGCTGGGCATAGCTAGAAAGAGTACCATTACCCTTACAATACAGGTTAGTGTATGTCCCTGAACTTAAATCCCACTGACCAAACCCCCTTAACTTAAATCCTCTAGTCTGTATTGTGGGGAACTGTGTGTGCCATATTACTGTACGAGCCGACCCGCGCGTATCATACGCCGCTATTTAGTTGTTTTATTTTCTACTTTTCAGTAATTCATAATTTGTGAATTCGACAGTACCAATGCTGCCACTGAACATATTTGCTTTAAAACACTATCAGTAGGTCGTTAAGGATGATACTACCCCCACCCTCCTTTCCCCCAACCCCTACCCTACACTCGTGAAAGCAGCCTCCTCTTAGTTACCTCCCCTAAGTTTAAAATAGTTTCAAACTAAATTATCTGCCCCTAATGGCCGTCACTAAACCCGGCTCTACGAATATAAACATTTAGCGTGAACCACAGCTCACCAGACCATGTAGGGGTGGGGAGGTAGGGAGCGTGCTTACAGCTTGTTTTCTAGCGTCTCCCAGAAGAGAATTATATATATGTAGATTATGTGTGGGTTATGTGAGAGTCTGTCTGGACTGTCAAGTACCCCTAATGAATTTGATGATCTATAGCAGGGGTCTCCAAACTTTTCAGACCGAGGGCCGCATTAACTATCAAATATAAGTTCGGGGGCCAGAGTTTCTTCCAGAGAAGAACGCACCACACACCCAACGGAATATATATATATATATATATATATATATATATATATATATATATATATATATATATATATATATATATATATATATATATATATATATATATATATATATATATATATATGTGTGTTTGTGTTGTGTTGTGTTTGTATTGTGTTTGTGTTGTGTTTGTGTTTGCATTGTGTTTGTGTTGTGTTTGTGTTGTGTTGTGTTTGTGTTTGAGTTGTGTTGTGTTTGTGTTGTGTTTGTGTTGTGTTTGTGTTGTGTTTGTGTTGTGTTTGTGTTGTGTTTGTGTTGTGTTTGTGTTATGTTTGTGTTGTGTTTGTGTTGTGTTTGTGTTGTGTTTGTGTTGTGTTTGTGTTGTGTTTGTGTTGTGTTTGTGTTGTGTTTGTGTTGTGTTTGTGTTGTGATTGTGTTGTGTTTGTGTTGTGATTGTGTTTGCTTTTGTGCTTGTTTATAGTTTTGTCTAGTTCCTAAGTTGGTACAACTAAAAATGATTCACCGTGGCGGAGTACGGGAATGCAGATATATATATGTATATATATATATATATATATATATATATATATATATATATATATATATATATATATATATATATATATATATATATTTATTTATTTATTTATTTATTTATTTATTTATTTATACAAATCAATACATTATTCAGATGGATTATTTAACATATAGGAATATTAGGCACCAATATTTATAAAACTGCTGATTTTAAAGCTTCAATTATGTTCAATGAGTGGGTAATTGAGCAATCGTTGAATGAGATGTCGTTTTTACTACACTATAGAGCAGGGGTCTCCAAACTTTTCAGTCCGAGGGCCGCATTAACTATCAAATTTCAGTTCGGGGGCCAGTTTCTTCCAGGCATGTTTTTGATTTTTCTGGACAAAGTTCCTCAGCCATCACCAACAAACGTTTTTTTCCGTGGACAAAAAGATCTCCGCGGGCCGGATGAGAGGACCTCGCGGGCCGGATGCGGCCCGCGGGCCGTAGTTTGGAGACCCCTGATCTATAGAATAGATGAAGTAGAGTTCAGATGTTTCTTCACCTCAAGATATGAAAGTATGGCTCAGTCAGTACTATGCAGAGTAGACTTTACTTTCCCTAACATTAAGTCAGATATCCAACAGAGTTGGGTATCGCAGATGTCCTACATGCTCAACTCAAAGATCCAAACTCAAGACTTTTGGGTTAGCAGTCGAGAACTCTGCCAGCCGACCATGCCATTGTTTGGACTGTATTGAGGATGTTTCCACAGAGATCGTCTACACAAGAAGGTGGTGGCTAAGCACGGAAACCTGGAGAAGCAGTACGGGATACCCCAACACTTTGGGCTCTTCTACGCCATGGGGTGGGCGCTGGTGATGGAGGGTGTGATGAGTGCTTGCTACCACGTGTGTCCCAGCTACTCCAACTTTCAGTTTGGTGAGTTGTTGGCCTTGGTGGTGTGTTACAGTTGTTGGCCTTGGTGGTTGTGGTGGTAAAGTTGCTGGCTTTGGTGGTTGTGGTGGTAAAGTTGTTGGCCTTGGTGGTTGTGGTGGTAAAGTTGTTGGCCTTGGTGTTTGTGGTGGTAAAGTTGCTGGCCTTGGTGGTTGTGGTGGTAAAGTTGCTGGCCTTGGTGGTTGTGGTGGTAAAGTTGTTGGCCTTGGTGGTTGTGGTGGTAAAGTTGCTGGCCTTGGTGGTTGTGGTGGTAAAGTTGCTGGCCTTGGTGCCGTGTTACAGTTGCTGGTCTTGTTGGTGTGTTACACTCTCTGATCTTGGTGGTATGTGGTAGAAGTGGTAAATTTGCTGGCCTTCGTGGTGTGTGGTGGTGATGCAGTTGGTGGTGTGTGGTAGTGGTGGTACAGTTGGTGGTGTGTGGTAGTGGTGGTTTGTTGTAGTGTTAATAAATATATGGTGTAGATGTAATGGTGATATAGTGAGTAAACTTGTAATTTATGATAGTGCTAACACAATAGATTATATACACTTATATGGTAGGTCCAATTCTGATTTTGTGGAAAGATAGTCGTTATTTGTGAGTCTGGATGGGTGATGATTTAGAAATAGTTGATGTTGCAGATTGATGGTGACTTTATAATAACAGGGGATCATGATAACTAAGTAATAGAGCCAGTGCTGACTTTGAGAGAAAGAAAACCAGTTCAATTTTTTTTTATTCATTACAATTACTATTGAACGTATACTCTTCTTGTTTCAGACACGTCCTTCATGTACATCATTGCCTGTTTGAACATGTTAAAAATCTACCAGTCCAGGCACCCAGATATCAACGCTAAGGCCCACACAGCCTACCTTTCAATGGCTGTCATTATTTTCATTGCTGTTGTTGGAGTCGTAAGTTCCTTAGTCAAGCTTTCAAATTTTACATTGGTGATACGAAACAAAATAATATTGTTTCTTTATAATGTTTATATTAACCCAAGACAGTTATAAACAAACCTTTTTTTCTAAGATTGTTACAAAGTTTATGGTAAGACTTGTTATGGGGGTGTGGGACAGCATGGTTGGGTGGGGAACAGGGCATTTCCCCCCTGTCAATTACCCCCCGGATATTTCCCCCCGACATTACCCCCTCAGAGTAATTACCCCCCCTGTCAATTACCCCCCCTGTCAATTACCCCCCCCCCCCCCCCCCCCCCTGGATAGGGTTAGGGTTAGGGCTGGGTTTAGGGTTAGGTTTATGGCTAGGGTTAGGGTTAGGGCTAGGGTTAGGGTTAGGGCTAGGGTTAGGGTTAGGGCTAGGGTTAGGGTTAGGGTTAGGGCTAGGGTTAGGGTTAAGGTTAGGGTTAGGGCTAGGATTAGGGTTAGAGCTAGTGTTAGGGTTAGGGTTGTGTCTAGCTTTGATTTTGGTTTTGTGTGAAGTTTTAGGCTAAGGTGGATGCTTATGTTTTGGTCTTTTTCTTAAGGTTTGGATTAAAGTAGTATATATGTATAAAATTCTAGTTAGAGTTAGGATTTTAACTTGAGAGGGGGGGGGGGGGGGGTAATTGACAGGGGGGTAATTGCTCCGGGGGGTAAATACGGGGGGGGGGGTAATGTCCGGGGGGGGGGGGAAATATCCAGGGGGGTAATGTCCTGTAGCCGGTTGGGTGATAGAGCACTTGACTGGTAACCTGAAAGTCTTGAGTTCGGATCTGGGTCCAGACTTAAGTCTGAAGGAAATCACTGAGTCCATTCAGGTCTGAGTCCACATCACGTGAGGGAAAGTAAAGGTAGCTGGGCATAGTGCTGACCCAACCCATCCCCTTTATATGCAGAGGTCAAGAAACACATGAACTCTACTTCATCATTAGGGCCATTAGGTCTGAAAGGGAAGCTAAACTTAAACTTTATGTTATGGGTATGATACCGTAATATTTCTGACAGGTGTACGGCACCAACATATTTTGGATCTGCTATGCTGTCATCCACATGTTTACCACATTTTTGATGACTGTACAAGTTTATTATATGGGGAGATGGAACATTGGTATGTTCAGTTATTATCTGTATATTTATTGTTTATTGTAAATTACATGTGACTTACAGAACATTGATACGTTGTAGTGTTTTTTTTAAATTAATAATTGAATGACAAAAAATAAACAGACCATAGCATATAAAAACATGTTGAAATTTTGTTGTTTCAATGAAAATCTGTAATAAAATAAAAAAATTTCAAGAATTTACTTTAATAAATAATATGGCAAAAGGGGGAACGGTAATTTCATTTACAATTTTTTTGCACATTCATAAATATGAACCAGTAATATTAATACTAGACATTTTAAAAATTGAAACAGATCGTCATATTTTCAAGAAATTGTTTCGCCTGCTTGTCACTGAAGGTTTGAGTTGTACAAGGCCGGTCTACCTAGTAGGTTGTTTTTTTTATGATTCAAGTTTTTAAATGGTTCATCTATTTATAGTATCGTATATTTGTTAATTGTTTATTTTTCTTTTAATTATTTATCTTTTATAGTAGTCTCTACTATTTTCTTTCAACCTGTGTGTTATTTTATTGATTCAAGTTTAAAAAAAAATTATTCTTTGTGTCTTCTTACATTAAGTGTGTAGGGTAATTCAGTTGTTTAAAATAATGTGCTTGGTTGACTTAGCTGTGTCAAACCATTACTTTAATGAAACTCTTACCGTAACCTTCTGGTATGCAAATGCTAAGCTAATATTTGCAAAGAATATATGTAAACATAACAAATTTATTAATTTCACTGAAAATATTATAAGCACATTTTTTATACATGACTTTTTTTTCATAGAATCGTTTTATCTTACTGTTGATTGGCAATTTAATTAACTGGGCTTTGTAAGTATACATAATTCAACTGTTCTTTATTCTTAATTGTAATATTATGGAGGGGATTTCCTTCATCACAATTAACAAAATTAAGCATTATGAGCCAATACCTTATGTGTCATATGGCCCATTGACTCTGAATACTATTCAAACAGTTTTAACTTCTTCTTACATCATGCTCCTTATCAACTATGTTATAATGATTTCAGTGCTATATATGGTGCCATTACGCAACCTTCAGACTTTGCAACTTACCTGCTGGCTATATTTATTGGGAATTTGTTACTGTACTCCATCTTTTATATCATCATGAAGGTAAAATTTTTTAGCAAATAAATCACATGAATTTTAACAGTTCAGTCACAGGATTTTTTAAAAATCAGAGAATAAATTGCAGGAATTTATTAAAATCATTTAATGTATCGTAGGAAATTCATTGAATAAATCACATAGATTTTAAAATTCAGTGAATATATCATATACATTTTTTAAACAGCTCTGTTGATTAATATAAATTTATTAGTTACTGTAACAATGTTTGCTGACCAGATTTTATATTGCCCAAATTTGAGTTATCTCCCCTTTTACATGCTGTGTAGAGAAAAAAATAGCTGCCTGATTAACGTAGTTATTGTGACATTTGTCATTGCTGATATAATTGTGACATTTTTTCTCCCTGTACCAGATGCTGTATAAAGAAAAATTCAGCTGGCTGGTCAAATTAGTTATTGTGACATCAACTGTCACTTGGGCAGGTTCACTCTACTTCTTCTTCCAAAATTTGACTTCCTGGGATGTGAGTTTATTTCTTTAAATTTGTTTTCTAGATAATTCATTCATTCACATTTTTAATTTACAACACACTTTAACTTGCTGTATGTTAAGGAATTCTTTAAATTAGTTTTCTAGATAATTCATTCATTAGCATTTTTAATTTACAAAACACTTAACATTGCTGTATGTTAAGGAGTTCTAGGGTAAAGAATTTGTTTTACATTTAAGATTACTCTGTAATGATCATTTTTAATCATGAGCTTTTTATTATTTTATTCTCTTGTGGTATTCAATATCATTTAGGGTTTCTTATGTACATCAATATGTTGTGCTATTTATAAGGCTAACTCTAATCACAAAATTCATTTTTTAAATACACCTGTTTTTTTGAGTCCATGCTAGGTTGAATTAATGAATTCTTAAGTTTGACATAATACTTGTCTCTCATAAAAAAAACAACCCAATAATTTTGTAGTTTTTTGTCATGGAAACATCCCCCCTGTCCTTTTTTCATTATTATTTTTCATAACAATTTTACAAAAATGTAGTGTTGGTTTTTAACAGGATATGAATACCACAAGTAGTTAGACATATTTGTTTCGTTGTTCCCTGTCTGTTGGTTGTAGATTTTATTCGAACTTTCCCAGAAAACACCTGCTGGCTCTAGAGCAGGAAACAAAGAATGTATTTTGATGGAGTTTTATGATCACCATGACGTCTGGCACTTCCTATCTGCCATTAGTTTGTTCTTCTCGTTTATGGTGAGGCTAATTAAGCATATTCGTTAAATATATTCAGTACAGAAAAAATAAAATAATCTATACATTAGAAAACATCAGCTGGGTTTTTTTGCTAAGTTTTATTTTCATTCTTTAAAGAAAAAACAAAAAAAAAAAAAACCCAAAAAAACCTGCCAAAAACAGTCAAATAGAATAATTGTTTTATGTAAATTCCAATCCCTTTTTAATGGAAGCAATAATATTACTGTTTCCTGTTCCAGATATTGTTACTTTTGGATGATGATCTCTCCCAGCAGAGGAGAGACAAGATTCCAGTGTTTTAGTTTCAAGCCTGGAGCCAGCGTGGCTCATGTTTGGCTCTCTCATGTCAACTTATGTGCTCTGCAGGAAAACAATGCAAGATCATATGAAAAAACATCAAATTCCTAACTTTGACATAATTTTTTAATGTTGATCTTTTGAAGATTTTAATGTATTTCCTAACAAATGTAAATCTTATAATAATTTATACAGACTTAATAAGCATAAACTTAATTCATTAAGCCTGCTGTTGAGTATCAACGAATGGCTCATTTATAATTCAGTTTTAATACGAATGTCAATCATTTTTTAAATATTTGATTATGAACATGTACTGTTATTTCAGTTTTTTTAATTTTTCAACTGACTTAATTCACTGGTTGTCATACTAATCTAATGGGTGGTTTTTTATGCTAGTCTTTTTTTTGTGGTGAAATCCAGTAGTTTAAAAAATAGATAATGCTTAATATATGCTTGATTGTCATTATAGTTTTGCTATAGAAAATATGTCATTGCTAAGTAAAATTAATGTAACTAAAAGTAGTGTAGTTATATATGTTCATAACATTTATTTTGTTAACATTTTTAACGATTTTGTTAATGTTCAAAATAATTGAATGAAGTTCATTTTAATAATGTGATTGTAATTTAATACCATTCCATTTTTTTAAACAGTTTTTCTTTAATTTAAGTTTTGATTTTTTAAATTTTATTTTTGTTTAAAATTAATTTTATTTTTTAAATTTATTGATGGGGTAATACTAAACTATTAGAAAATACCCAACATCCTACTGAGACAAAAGTAGGCCTACATAAGTATATTTATTTTGAAGACTGAACAGTGTCTACTTTATTCTCAGTATCAGATTCAAACCCCCTTATTATAATGTTAACTAGTCATATTTATTACACCTGTTTCTATATCCAGATATTTGAACTCTTTCTATTACTACACACAGATTATAAATCCTTAACTAAGCCTGGATTTATAGAAGTTTGGTAGATCACTCATTCTCTTAAATTAAACTGTTTTATGTTGTTTAGTATCGCTGCTAGGATTAGGGTCTGGGTTAAAGGCAGATGTACGGTTGGGATCAGGTCTTGGGTTTAGGTCTTGATTAGGTGAGGGCCGTAATACTATTAAGGGCAGTAATACTAGTGAGGGCAGTAATTATCTATTAGGGCAGTAATACTCAGTTAGGCCTATAATACTAGGGCATAATTACTAGGGCATAATTACTAGTTTAGTGCAGTATTTTCTCCTCTCCGGGCGGAAAGGGGGGGGGCACTTCTTGAAATCTTTTGGGAGAGGGGCGGACACTATATATTTTCTATATCAATTCCATTTTGTCCGGGGGGGGGGGGGGGGGCAGAGCCCCCCTGAAGAGATGCCTGGAAGAAACTCTGAATACTAGGCTAGTGTAGGGTAGTAATATTAGGCTAGGGTAGGGCAGTAATACTAGAAATAAAAAAAATATTCTCTATACACCTTATTACTTATTTTAGTACTTAAATACATACTTACATTTTTAAACATTTTACTCCTATTGTCTAATCCGCAGTCTTTCTCTCAACACTCATTCCATATTTCTAGCTACACAGACTGTACCCGCAGATGATATTTTGATGCTTGTGTCAATATAAACATATTTCAGGATATTATTATTATATTATATTATATAGGACATCAACTTTTTAAATAAAGGAGAATTTGGAAAAACTGACTTTCTATTACAATTTACAAAAACAGTCTTTAAAAAAAAACCGAAATAATGCTCACAAAATTCTGACACCCCCCCTCTCCCGCCATCTTGAGTGTGATGTCATTTTTATTGAAGACCCATTTTATGAATTCTAGACTGCTGCGTATCTACACTTTGAGAATCATTAAGCGTGGTCAACTAGAAAAATGTGATAACTTAACCAAAACTCAAAACTTTTTTTGGGTGAAAATACTCAAATAGATACCCCTGTACACTCTCTACTCTTTTTTCATACTCCTTTAAATTATTTGAGTTCTTTTGTCACAGAGATAAACACAATACTTTGTTTATTGTGTTTTGAAAGGGTACTTTTTATGTTTTTGTAAAGCAATGCAATTTTAATAGTTCTTAAAATATACCTGGACCAATATTTTCCTTTAGCATAACATAATGAATAGTTTAACAGTAAGGTAGATAACTCAATCTTGCGACGAATAGAAGGGTAGATAACACTTTTCTTTTACTTTTTATTTGCTTTTGTATCAAAGAATTTCACATAATACATAAACCTGTTGTGGGACTTTTTACTTTGTTTATTTAAAGTATTTTTTTGTTAGATCTATAAAGCAAGAGTGACATGATTAAGTAATTTGTAAACTATTTAATATTTTCATAGCTTAATATTCATTTAGGTTTAAACTTAGAATAAGTTGTTTTTCTTTTACATAATTTAATTTTTTTATTGTAATTAAGCAGTTACACTGTTGAAAATGCTCATGTAGAATTATAAATATACCAATTAAATTTGAATTAAAAGTAAGATAAAACTATAATTTACTCATTAATAATTATTGGATGCATGCCTACATCAAGTGATGCTTTTATAGGGCATATCACATTCTTTTTTTAATGAAGAGATTCATTACAGTTTGGGCATGGCTGAAAGGCCTTAGAGCTCTAGATAGTAGAGCTGAAACTCTAGCAAGTCCATCCAGCTCTATAGTGGTTTCCTGAAGAATGTGCAATGGAAAATTGTGCAAACAGATAAATGTGCAACAGAAAATTGTGCAAGCAGATACATTTTTTTTTTTTAAAGTTCAAATAACTTTTTACTGACTGCAAAAAAACATTGATAACACATGTTATAAGTATATGTCTACAAATTATACTCCCATTTATCATAAAAGGTATGACATTTTTTTTTATATAATGAAGACATTGATACAAATAAGTTTGTCTGGTTCAGGGTTCCTAATCAAAGAACATCTGAGAGTAAAAAACATTAGGGAATAAAACTCAAGAACAATTTATTTCTTTATGTGCAAGCAGATAAATAACAATACTAATGCAGTATACTGATAATTCAATTTGGCCACATGTTGTGAGGTATATTTTATCATGCTTCATTTTACATTTTCTCATTCTTTGCTGATGTCTTTGAATTATTGAATAATTAATTTAAAAAAAAGAAAACAGTGCCCATTCACACACATTTCTGTTGCACATATTCTGATCACCTTTTTATGTGAAAGTAAAGGCAGCTTGGTGTAACAATTTATTATAATATCTTTAAATAGATGTTGTTAAAGAAATAAATGACCTCTTATCTCCCCTTATCTGAAATCGATCTTACAAAAACCCACCTTGTGTAAACAGCCCTTCAGTGGTTGTTCTGTTCTAGTTTAATGTTCTCTTCATTTAAAAAATTATTATCACATTAATTAAATTTTTTTTTGCATATCTTTTGCATAGTCTTTGATTATAGAATTTATTAGTAATTTTTAATTCCAAATGGGGGTTTCATTTGCTTTCAACTGTTTACACCACAATTTAACGTTACTGAGACCCCATCTGTGAATCCGGATTCATTATGCTTAATGCCCATTAAATTTTGCTTCATGCATGTTGGATTAGTCAGACATTTCAGAAGTGCCTATATATTTAAGTCTTTCATATCTACTCGATTAAGTAAAAATGTAAATTATCATTTGACAATTTTGTTTTTAATTGTTTTGGTGTGGTGTTTTTTATTTTTTTTTTATTTGTAATAGAACAGACAATTAAGTATTACATGCTTCGAGTGTTATTTTAATTATTTTTTTTCATTTTAGTTTGCTAGTCAAATCCATTTAGTTGTTTTATTTGTCTAATTAATATGTAAAAATCATAGCTATTGATTGATTTTGTATGCTCAGACATTGATTTATAGATTACAAGTTTTTTCTTTTGTGTATTATGATATATAGATTACATGATATTTTGGTGTATTAAGATTTCTTACATGTGTTATATTGCTATTTCAGAAAATTAAGAATACAACTTTTGGAAAATTTGAATATTACATTATATTTGTAGTAGTTGCTAGACATCTATGCTTGATTTTAATGGTTTTTTTTTATTGAGCCCTGTTCTTTATAAAAGTCTATAGTTAGCTGCTATCAAATGATATTACTTAGCTACTTAAAAATAACATTTTTAACCCTTTTATCATGTTTCAGAATTTTAAAAACACAGAAGTATATGAATAAGTAACTACAAATAACTGAAATTCCCAAATTAATATTCTAAGCCCTTTCTAATATTTGGCTTAAGTTGAAAATACCTTGAAGTACTTAACAACACATTTTGTTGTGTAGGGCCACATAGTAAATCAAAGTTTACAAGTTGGACAGTTTAAAAAAAAAGATAGCTACCCTCTTCCATCTGCATTTAACCCCTAGGTGATTAGTAAGCTTTTTAGCCCTTGGTTTTATACGTACAGTTGATATTTGATAAGTATTAACTTTAACTAGTAACTTGTCATACCAAATGGTTTTATGCAGCTGAATGTAATTCTATTGCAGTGTTTAGTTTTTGTTAATATCTACATTTGTTTCTAATAAAATTATGATTTTTGCAACAATTATCAAAACCTTAATTCTTGATATAAGTAAAAGTAAGTAAAGTTTCCCTTTCAAACCTGACGGTCTATGGGGCACGTGAAGTAGAGTTCACTTGTTTCTGTGACCTCGGCATATGAAGAGATAGTGTGGTCAGCACTATGCCCAGCCGCCTTTACTTTCCCTAATGTGAGTTAGGTACCCATCAGAGTTGGGTGGACTCAGGGACGGTCTATTGACTTGAACTGGATTTGAACTCGAGACTAACGGGTTAGCAGTCCAGCTCTCTACTGCTAGACCACTCCGTCCTCAATTCTCGATATAGGTAATAGTTAAAGACTGATGTGTCCTTTTATCTGGTAGTGTTAATCTTCTTTTGCACTGAGAATCTTAAATCAGGCTGATTGCAAATTAGTAGAAGTAACATTTCTTACACCAATGTTTTCAGCAGCTAGACTGGGCTGTTTTATTCCTTTTTAGTGAATTGCACCACTTGACTTGAATGTGGTGTTTGGTTGAGGGATGACTTTTAGTTTCAGAACTGGCTTTACATGCACATACCTCTCTGCTAGACCACACTGTCTCCCGGAGAAGTTTGTGAACAAAAAAACTGCACTGAATTTCAACATACTTATTGAAAATATGCCTAGTGAATCTTAATCTTTTGTTTATATTTATTTAATCAGTTTCATTTGTGCATTCACCAAACCCTTCTAAATAGTTCTAAGGTCTCTAGTAGGAAAATTGATTCGTGAAGCGTCAGAGTCAAATGTGTATCTTGAACTCCACCGAACCCCTGAGACGGATTCACTGAACCCCAAGGGTTCAATCAAACCCTGGTTAAGAACTACTACTTTAAAGTAAATAAATTACCCTTTTGAACCTTACTGTCAGGGCCAGTGGCGTAGCCAGGGTCGTCTCAAGGGGGGATGTTCCAATTTTTACCCGGGGACAAGCTTTCGATTTGCACCCCCCTCAGACTTTTGATTTGCACGCCCCCCCTCATACTTTATATATATACCGAGGGGTCTATGGGGGGATTATGACCCCCCCTCCCCCTGCCTACGCCACTGGTCAGGGCAGGTCAAGTAGAATTCATCTATTTTTGTGACCTTGGCATACTAAGGGATAATGTTAGCACTATGGCCAGCCACCTTCAGAGCTGTAGGGACTCAGGGATGTCCTATGGACTCGAACCCAGGATACAAACTCAAGACTTTTAAAGTAGCTATCAAATGCTCTACCATTTGACCAAGCTAACCCAAAGTGGTTGCAATGTAAAAAAAAAAGGACAAGTAAATCTGGTTTTTCTGCAGTTCTTTATGTACATCTACTTTAACTTTGAAATATATTTTCTTTAGTTTGGAGAAATGACGTTTTCCAACAGCTTTTACATTAAGTAGTGATAACAGTTGCAATGTTTGTATTGTTAAAGAAAAAGGTTTTAATACTTTGCCCGAAATTTAGTGGAAGATGATTAAATCAAGACAAACACAGGCTTTGTTTTATAAACCTACAACTTTATTTTATTTGAGAGGAATAAAAAATAACATTTGGATAAGAATTATTTTGACTTAAAGTTTGTAAAAAAAACTGGACAAGCATAGAGTCAAGGCCAATTGTAACTGCTGTATATGCTTCATACTAAAATAAAAACTTCAATGGAAATACATCTCTTAAGCAAAATTCAGCAAATTAAGAAAAGAAGAAAACAGTATTGCAAGGAGAAAACCTAGAGTTTTTAAAAGAAATATGTGGTGGTTATGATGTATGGACAGCCATACTGATACCAGTTTTGACTGAACTGAAGAAATTCAAACAAAATATACAAATAAAAATAAATCACAGAAATAATGTAAAAATTTAATTTTATTTTCTACAGTTCAAATATTGCTGATTCCAAAACTATTCTCTAAAGGTACAGACATATACTTGGAAAATATCCTATAAAGTAACTTCTTTTGCGTTTTTTTTTAAAATTTCGCAACTATAAAAAAAAAATAGTTTCTGAATCTAGAAATGAAACTTTAAAAAATAAAACCAACCAGAAACAACTGTATATGATATATACATTAACTGTGAAACAAGTACAGTGCACATGTACAAATAACACTTGAACCTACACCACCAATGCTTCAGGGAAACATGCGAGTAGGTTCAATACAATTTTCCAATAGATATGCCGCATTTGCAGCAATGCCATTTTATAATCAGTAATAATATGCACACAGAAAAATAAAATGCTTCAGTGAAAACAATTTCTACATGTTGATAGTTAATTTGCTGCAATAAAGTACGGACCTAGAGACCGTACACATCATTATACAGCAATCAGCATGTATTAATTAATTAATTAATCTTGCCATTTTTCAATGATTAAACCAGTTAACATTTCACATGTCCCATACATTCATTAACACACAAGTAATTTTTCTTCAAGTAGATCTGCACAAAAAATTTCACTTTAAAATTTTAATTCATGAAGAATAACACATAGCTTTGTCAATACATAGAGATAATACAGTGTTTTATGAATACTATTGGGTGTTTCTTACTAATATTATCTATCTTTGTTTATCTAACTTGAATATGGTTTATTTTGTCATTGAATACATTCTTGTAGAGATATTAACTGTGAATCAAGAACATACTTTCTACATTTGGGACTAAGTAGTTCACAAAAATTATTTTCTTGACATGAAGGTTCAAAAACTTTAGCACAAATAAACTACGTTTATAGTTTCCTAAACCTAACATTTTCAAATCAAATTTAACAGTGAAAGTTCAAAAATTTTATAGTCAAAATAAACTATGTTTATAGTTTACAGTTCCCTAAACCTAACATTTTCAAATCAAATTTAACAGTGAAGGTTAAAGAACTTTAAGGGAAAGAAATGACCACTACATTACATTTTATGTCCGATACAAGCTGTAAAGGATATATTTTTATTGTATTCACTAGTTTTCACCTAAATGGCAAACATTTTAAGTAATTGATGTTTAAACACTAAATAATTATCCACGTAAAATATTCTTAACCCTTCATGAAGTCAAACAGAAGATGAACAGCTTTACTAAATATAAATCAGACTCAAGTTTTTTGGCATTTTGTGTTAATTCTTTTAATTTCTGACAAGTAGTACCTCAGTGAACGATATTAGTACTAGATTTTCTTCTTAAAGTTTTTATAAAACTTTTTTTTATATTCATAAATTAAAGCAAAACAGTATAATTACCATCTACCAGTTCATAAATTTACCGACAACATTTTTATGTTTCTTCAATTCAGTACAAACAACATCACATTTATTCGTTCAACCAGTTAAAAAAATATAGAAAAATAGAACCATTAAAAATATAAGCCATTGAAACATATAAAAGGCTTGAAATGATTTTCATTGTGCAGATTTATTACTACATCCAGTGCAATAATGTACAACATGACAAGGGGACATAATTTTTTTATTTTTTCATTCTTGCCCAACTTTAATTCATCAAAAAATGCATTGTAAAGTATTTAAAAAAAATCTGGCATTGACAAAAAAATAATTCAACGAATAGTTTAACATTGACATTCAATAATGAAGTAAACAGGTAAGACAATTTTTTTATAACAACAAAATAAACAGCCAAAGAAACACTGGTATTAACACTTTCAACCTGTGTAGAACTTATAATTACTGTCCACTGTAAAAAAAAAAAAAAAAAAAAAAAAAAAAAAAAAGTTTTGTGAGCCTTAAACCATACTGCCTTAGGAAATATGTTGTTACTTCATATTGGTTTCAAATGTTTCAGAGAAACCAAGCCTTATATCACACTTCTTTATACAATATATTATTACTTCAAATATATTCAAGTTTTTCAGAAAAACCAAGCTAACTAACACAAACATTTTCCTATTGCAGTTTCAACCCTAATGTATCAACATGATGCAACAATTTATAAACTTTATTAAAAAAATGCAATGTTTGATGAGGTTAAATATATACTTTAAAAATCCTGGTTAACTTTTTAAATATGTATATATTTATATTACAAATACTTGCAATGTGTATGAGACACTTTAAACTTTAATCCTGAATAATTTAGCTATTTATAATTAGTCGTTTTTCAAGCCACCTGATAAGATAACTGATGTATCCTTTTATTATTTCTAAAATTTAAAAAATAAATTAAATTTAACAAGTGTTTAAAAATGTAGGAACAATGTGGCAACAAAAATTTCTACATGGCTGAAATTAGTTTTAAAAAAAACAAGATTTGTTTTTACAAGTTGTTTCAATGATGAGTAAAAAAGTTGAACTGAATGAACTTGATTACATTTGAAGTGTTACAGGAGGAAGTTGTGAAGCTCTGATGTAAGCAATGTGTGCTTGACAATGTAAGTGCTTACACCAGTACTGACAATTTGTACTTAAGATTTTACCTACATTTGTGACAATTTGTAATTAAGATTTTACCTACATTCGTTTATAAAATTTCATAGAAATTACTATTTGTATTGATGTTAAAAATTATCCTTAAAGTATGAAAGAGTTAACAGATGTAAAGAAATTTTTTTGTATATTTGGAATAGTCATTAGTACCAAAGTGAACTATAAAACAATTCTTAGTAAACTATATAAAAAAAACAACTGTAGAGTTAAAGTAAATGTATGCGTTGCTGGCTAACATACTGTGTAGAGTTTTAACAGGAAGGAAAATAAGATACAGCCTAGTTGAGTTTGTTACAGGTTCTAAATACACATAATATAATACTGAGTATGGAAAAAAAATTATGACTAATTAAAATCAATTTTTTTTTATAAATTTAAAAAACAAACAATGCACATACTTCAATAAAACATATTGTACATCATGTACAAGGTAAAAATAAGTGTACAATCTAAAAATGTTGTACTGTGATACACACTTGTAACAAGCCTTTACATCAAAAAAAAAAAAAATATAGGAACACGCAAGCTTCGTAAAATAACAGAACAAGTGGTAGGATGTAGGGCATTAGTCAGTAGTCTCATGTAATGACTAAATATCTGTAGGTATAGAGAGGAGAAAAGCAGATGACGTTGTATTCATGCATGGTAAGTTGAAAGATAAAATGTACACGATCACTGACTCAATGAAAAAACCAATCGACTCAATGGGGAACAAAATACTAGAGGAAGAAATATAATACAGTGTGTTATAAAAAGTGAATTTTAAAGTACCATGCAGCTAGTTGGCAAGTTAAGTAAAATAGATTTTTAAATAAAAAAAATCCAGTGTCTAAAGCCATTTATCAAGGGATTTGAAATTCAAATCTACTTGAAATGTGTTATAGACAAAAACAAAGGAATTTCACTAAGATGAATAGAAATAAATTTTAAAGAATTGAATGAGGTTTTTAAAAATATTTTTTTTACCTTTGTAGCATTTTGAAATGTATGAAAAATTAAAATACTGCTTTGGTGGAGCTGTATATGGCACTTTAAAAAACACCAAAAAAAAAATTAAATAACTATGGCACATGTTTTTTTTTCTACATAAATAGTGTATTTGGCTCCCAAATAAGATGAAATAGGTTAAATTGTAAGGAATAGAACAAAATATTGCCGTAAATTATTGTTTTAGGTATGTAATGTAAACAAAAAAATTACAGTACACACTTTTAAACAGGAAGGTCGGTTAAAGCTTAAAAATGTCAAAAACTTTGACTGATTTTCAAAGTGCAAAAAAATTTTCAACATAGATTTTTTTTTTGTAAAATTCATCCTATGAAAATATGTTGCTTTAGTTTTTTTCAACAGTATGAAAGAAAATTCCTCTTGTGCTATACAGCAATACATGAGAGAAGAGATCTCTTATATAGGCAGTTAGGAGAGGTAGGAAGGAAGATAGGGGGGAAAAAAATAATGAACAGGCATTCAAGTTAAACAGATCATGAAACAAATATTGCTCATGTATATGACAGTAGCTATCAACAGTTTAAAATTTAAAAAAAAGATGATTCTCATTTCAGTCTTTGCAATATGAAAGCCATTTTTTTCCCCTCCGCTAAAATGGAAGATTTTAACTGACGCATCTCTTGCCGCCTTCACTAAATAGCAGATTCCAGTTGTAGCGCCTCCTGGTGCCTTGTTGGCAGGGGCGGGGTCGCCCCTCGATCTTTGTAGGTCTTGAGGAATAAGATGGGCAACATGAGAAGGCCTGAGATAATGTTCAAGGCTCCCGCAAAGTAGAAACAGTTGTCAATGCTTTTTGTCTTGTCTAGTAGCTGACCTGTTGATCGAAACAAATGAGTTAAAACAAAACGTCTTTTTAGGGACGGAGTGGCCTAGCGACAGAGAGCTAGAAAGTCTCAAGTTCGAATCTGGGTTCAAGTCAGTAGACTGTCCCTGAGGTCACAGAAACAGGTGAACTCTTATTCACTTGCATCATAGACCATCAGGTTTTGAAGGGGAACTTTACTTACTTTACATCCTTTTAATTATCTGTGCTTTAATTTATTTCATGAAGTAACAATTATTTCAGAGTATTCTGTTTGTTTTTATATTATATCCATATCAATTAGGATTCAGTCACAACATTTTCTACAGTATGAGTAATAAATAAAGGATGATGGGAACCCTTATTCAATAAATGAAAACACATACTATTGTTTTGTTAAGGATTATACCAAAACTAAATCTCAGAACTTCTAATAAAAAAAATAAAAATGATTGCATTTCTTTATTATTTTTTTGAATTCAGCTAATTTGAGAAAAAAAAAATGGTGTATTAGTTATCTAGTTAATCACTAAAAAATAAATATTTCTAGAAAATTTGGTAGAGGCTCTATTTTTTTGAATTCAGCAAATTTGAGAAAAAAATGGTGTATTAGTTAGATCTAGTTAATTGCCAAAAAATATTTCTGGAAAATTTGGTAGAGGCACAATTTTTTTGAATTCAGCAAACTTGAGAAAAAAAAAATAAAGTGCATTAGTTAGATCTAGTTAATTACCAAAATAAATATTTTTAGAAAATTTGGCAATAAAAACATCCGCTGACCAGCAATAGGTGGACCAATAAATGCAGCCACTCCCTGGAACAGTATGAGCAGCCCGAAAGACTTTGTCAACATCTCCAACCCCAGCAAGTCCACCAGCAGGATGGTTCTCAGAGACACAAAAACAGCTGAAAACATTCAGATGGTCTTTTTAAACACATTTTTAAACAATAAATGATAGTTTGCTTTCATTTCAATGTTTTGAGACAAACTGAGGTGTATTTATAAACTGTTAGGTGAGTACAGTACAAGTCCATACCTTTTGAGATTACACTTTTAAGCAAGGGGACTAATACAATTACATTTGTATGTAGTAAATAAACAATATTAAATGTAAGCTATCTAGAGTGATCTCCCCTGTTGTAAAGGTGTGTATAAGTTATCCCTTTTTTGGCATTTTAAAAATAAGTAAGGAAAAATACAAAGAATTATATTTTAAAAATTGCTTTTAAAACAACACAAATACAACAATATCATTGTAGGTAAAAATAAATAACCGAAGAAAAATAAAGTAAAACGAAAACAAAAATTACTTTAAAAAATTTCTATACTAACTAGAAAAGCAGAACTAGCTTTAAATTGGCACCGCCAGAGCCAAGAATACAAACCTAGGCAAAGACCAAGAAAAGCAGAAATGGCTGCGAGCATGTCTTCATTAGTGGCAAGAGGGCACAGCAGCACAGCGATTCCAGCCAAGATGAGGGCACAGTTGTTCAGATGTAAGGAGTTGATGCAGGGCCGGTCTGCCACCCAGCCACATATGATACGCCCAACCGTGTTGGTGATGCCGATGATAGAGATAAGAAATGAGGCGCGCTCATCTGACATCCCTATTGATCGTCCTTTGGTTGGTAAGTAGAAGTATGGGATAAAGAAAGCTGTTGAGAGAGGGTTAACTTTTAGTAAAAAACAAAAAAATAAATGCTAATTCTGCATATAAATAATTTTCTTTAAAATGGTGTTTGTAGAATCTATGTAGTGAAGGATTTTGGGGTCTTGTTCTCATAAGTCCCGCCACTAATGCAAAAAGTGCACATGGGAAAAGTTAAGCCCCAACACTTCGTGCCAGCTCCATTTCAATGCACGCACGCAACCTTGAGGGTTAAGGTTAACACTCAAGGCACCAGAATGCAGACTTTTCAATAAAATCTAAAAGTACAATTATCATATCCTCTTTTTTATAATTTTTTTTTGGGTGGCAGGGATTAACTTTTTCGGCATGGCTTATCGGGACAAGATCCAGAATTTCTTCCTAATGCTAAGTGAATGTTGGCCACTCTCATTAAAGTGACAAGTTCACACTTTTTAAAAAAATTATTAAAAAAAATTGTTTTTCAATAGATAGCTTTACAAATTCATTCCAAAGTAAAAAAACAAAAAGCAAAATCAAAACAACAACCTATTTTTTTAAAAGTGCACTGTCAAGCACTGATCATTTGTTGGCATTACAAAATAAAAAAAGCTACTTAAAAGTGTTTTGTAAGAAATCATAAAACTGTAAAATAAAAAACTGTAGCAGACATTTAACTACATCCTTACAAAAAACATAGAATATCCAGGAGTTTTGAAAGAACAAAAAATTAAAATTGCCTTGTAAGTAATTTGAAGATCAGCTTCCACTCAGCTTTTTAAAATGGATTTCTGTAACTTGTGAGATATTTTGGTTTTTGATTATAATTAAACTGTAACTTTAAAGTTAATGTTATTAGTTAATAATTTTAATCTTAATTACATTTGTAACTTTTCTTTTTGCACTTTTAAAGTTTATTTTTATAAACTATATCAGCATTATCGAAACAAAGTTATTTTCATGTAAGGGACCAATTTTAAATTAAACTAAACTTTTTAAACATTAAAAAATATAAATTCTAATATATTTATATTTCTTTCCAAAGGAGTTTAGTCACATAAGTGATTAAAAATGACAATTGAAAACTATTAAAAAATATAGAATTCAATATTTAAAGACTTTTCAATACAAAAATTAAAGCCCAACAATGCACAATTTCATGTGAACTAAATTTTTGAAAACAGTGAACTATTATCTCCCTTGGTATCACTTACCAACAATCCTACATTACCTGCATTATAAAAGTTTTAAAGCAAAAAGAAAAAAAAATTCTAATTTTTCTTTTTGTCATTGAAATAAAAATATAAAATAAATTTAAATTTTTTTTTTACCTAAACAAGTAATGTGTTGAAATAACATTAGAGCTTAAACACATTATACGGCTAACAAGATGAATAACTAAAAAAAGTAGTTAAACGCTGCATTTAAAATAACATCTCCTAATTTTAATTGGTAGCATGGGCGTGAAGACTGACAAATTAATGTTCTAAAATAATAAGTTTTCTTTTAACGATCTTATTTATCATGGTTTGCATAAAAAATTGTAGTTAAAACCATTTTCTATTTAAATGATGGTGTATTAAAAAGTAGAAAAAACACAACATGAAACAAATATTCTGGCCAACTTACAAAGGAGGGTGAGAAAGGTGGACAAAGCCAGCAAGGCAAAAACAGGGTTAATCAACAGCTTGATGTCCACCATCTCACAGAAGATGACCCAGAACTTGTAGAGGAGGGAGGACTTGCGGTCCAGCTCCTTCTCGTATTGCTCCAGGCTGGCCTGGATCTGGGGGATGCTGAGCATGCTGTTGCTCAGGTACGTGGACTGGGAGGACAGGTGGCTCTTGTAGCTGCTGGCCATGGAACTGTTCGACCTGTACCTGAAGAATTTGGTACCTCAGTAAAGCAGTCTTTACAAGTCACAGTGTTTAGTATATAAGAAGTAATACATAATGTCTTTTTTTAAAATGATTTTTACCCTCAAGTTAGATCATCTGAGTATATGAATCAATTTCTATTACGATAAGCAAAAATATTCTTCAAGAATCACAAAATAACTGCTAGATTCAGATTCTAAAAACTACTTTTAAAAATGTAGAAGTGTGGCAGAACTCTATTATAAACCAATCATCACGTAAGTCTGAAGCTCTAATCCCCCCCTTAAGAATTGTTTATGGATGACCCCTAATTTTAAGTTATATTAAACTATATACTTATTTTTAAGATATAGTTTAATAATAACATAAATTATCAATGAAATAACATCATAATAATGCTTTAAAATGTTCTACAATAAAAAGACATGTTTTTAATAAAAATGACAAAATTTAAGTTAAATGTTTTGTTAAGTTAAAAGAGTGCTCAACCATACAACCATGCTGTCTCATACCCGAGTGTGGTAAATATATATATATATATATATATATATATATATATATATATATATATATATATATATATATATATATATAACATGAATCAGGTATTTATTAGAGCTGACTGGACTCTAGGGCATCCAACACTGGATTAGAAGTCAAACATTCAAATTAGCTCTACCACCCAATCATGCCATCCCATATACCCCAGTGTAAAAGTAAAGAAAATTAAGAGTCTTCTTTAGACCTAATGATCCACTGGGCAGATGAAAGCGTTCATGTTTCTTGACCCCAGTGTAAGCTTAGCTTGAAACCATAAAACAACAAAAATGAAAACCACCCACTCACCTGATGGTCCTGGTGTCGCTGGGGATCATGTGGATACTAATAACATTTCCCTCAATGGTGGGAGAAGACTGGAGGTCACTGGTCGACCTAGTGACCACCGGCCCGCCCCCGTTGCTGATCTGCTCAATACGCATCTCCAACACGTCATCGCCTATCTGCACGTACTGGTCGTTGATGGGGATCACGCTGCAGCTGCGAGTTTTAGACACACCGTTCGGCGCCAACGACCCGTTAGAGGTGGGGATCCGACCGTTAGTGAGCATTGATATTGACGAGTTGTTGCGCGGCAGGACGATGCCGTCCGGCAGGGAGCCGCGCTTCTGAACAATCTGAGAGTGAGCAAGCTGGTGGGTGCCGTTGGGGCAGTAGATGGGGGAGCTCTTCTGCACGGCGTCGATGACGAACCCCGGGAGGCTGTTCTTTGAGTGGGCCAGGCTCTGGGAGCTGAACCCCAGCTGTTTCTTAAACCTGGCGATGAAAGAATCGTTCCTTTTCATCTCGAAGATCTTCGAGTCAAGCTTAATCAGTTTGTTATCCTTTGTGATTATGCAGTTATCCAAAGATCCGTTGGAAATAGTCCTCTGCCTTTTTTTATCCTCAATCAGAGCTTTCATGATTGCTCCTCGCTCGATCTCCACCCGCGCCTGAACCGGCCTGCGTTTTTTCGACCCCCATCTGTCCAGTGGAATAAACAGCATGCCACACGCGGCACATTTCAGAACGATGCCGGCGAAAATTAAGTTCTGACCCTCCCAGGTGTACTCTGTGAGCAAATAACGTGCCAGCGGCGGGAAAACAAACTGACCGATGCCGGTGCCACAGACCACGATGCCAGTGGTGAAAGCCCTTTTCTTCTCAAACCAGTAGCCAACACAAACGATGGAGGGGAGGTAAATCATCCCAAACCCAATACCTGATGACAAAAAATACCATTTAGAACAAGAAGAAAAAAATCATTTATGTTTCTAATAAATAATGCTGATTATTAAATTAATTTAAAAATTTTAACATTTAGAACAAGAAGAAAAAATTGTCTGTTTCTAATAAATTATGCAGATTTTAAAATTAATCTAATAATTTTAACCTTAGCGCATAAATGAAACCCTGTTATTTTGAAGATTTTTAATCCCCCCTTCATCATAAAGCCAAATTACCCCATGATTAAAAAAAAACTTACCTCCAATGATGCCATAGGTAGCAATCAGCATCTCAATGCTACTGGATTGTGTACTAAGTAGAAAGCCTGCCATTGTTATTACACTGCCGGCCATTGTAACCTTACGACAGCCGTACCTTGTGCACAAAGCTGCCACAAATGGACCTAGAGATCCATGACAAGAATGGTTACTATCTACACACACAACATTACACTATTTAATAGAGATCCATGACAACAATTGTTACTTTTAACTATCTGCACACACACATCATTACACTATTTAACACATACTTCCTAACTTTCAATAGTAAAAGAGTTGTTAAAATTAATTTAAAATTATAAATTAGTTTAATGATAGAGTGCCCAACTTTCAATGTTAAAGTAGTCGTGAAAATGTATTTTAAATTATAAATTAACATAATGATAGAGTACCAAACTTTCAATGTTAAAAAGTCATGAACATTATTTTTAAATTTTAATCAACTTACAATGTTAAAAGAATCATGACAATTGATTATAAACACATTCAGTTCATTAAATTTGTAATACAGATCCCAACTAGACTTGTGGCACCAAACATACCAATGTGCCCAACTTTCAATGTTAAAAGAGTTGTGAAAATTAATTTTAAATTATCAATTAACTTAATGATAATGATCCTAACTTTTAATGTTAAAAGAATGACAATTAATTATAAATCCAATTATATTATTACATTTGTAATAGAGATCCCAACTGTGCCCAACTTTCAATGTAAAAGTAGTCATAAAATTTCATTTTAAATCACCAATTAACTTAACGACAGAGTTCCCAACTAGAAACGACACCAAACTTACCAACAATCAGATAGCAGCCGGTCAGTGAAGACCCCACCCAGCTGACCTGGGAGTTGGTCGCCTTAAAGGCCTTCATGAACTCCGGGCTGACAACCCCAAAGGAGAAGCAAACCCCATCCACTATCATGTTGCACAGGAAGGACGCCACCATCACCACCCATCCCCATCCGCCATCCGGTGGGATGGGGTGGCTGTTGTCCTCCTCCTGCTCGTCGTCCTCTTCCTCGTCCTCGTCTGCGTAGCTGTTCTCCCCTTCCTGCGCCGCTGTAGCTCCATCGCTTGAAGGGTATCTCATGGTTGTATTTCTTGCACGGCGCCTCTCTCTCTACAGAATCACATAGTGGAGCTCTGGGGAAGACAAAATAGCAATCATTATAAAAACATCGCTGAATCTCTCTATAGTGGAGTTATATAGAAGACATAATAGCAATCATTGTAAAAACGTTGTTGTATCGCTCTATAGAATCACATAGTGGGGTTATAAAGAAGACATAATAGCAATCACTATAACAACATTGTTGATATCTCTCTATAGAATCACATAGTGGGGTTACGGAAGACAAAATATCAATCGCTCTAACAACATTTTGGTACCACTCTACAGAATCAAATGCTGGTATCATGTGAAAAAAAAATCAATCACTATAACAAAATTGTTGTGTCTCTCTACAGAGTCACGACATAGTATCAATAACTATGACATCATTGTTGATTGAAAAGTACTGATTTTGCTACTGACATTGCCCTGGGCATGTCAGTAATTGCCATTGTCTACTGTTGACATTGTTGGCTATAGTCATGAGAGAACATACACACAATCAGATCATGAACATGCCTGTTTTTTTTAGGCAAATATATGTGAGAGAAAAAGATAGTCAATAAATAAAATAACTAAGTTAGAAGGTTTCAATAATAAAGGAAAAGAATAGTACCTGCTTATGAATGCAATTTAACTTAAATTTCTCTAAATCCATTCTATAGTGTGGAAAAAAGAAAGAATCAACTACTAAATGATGTTAAGGGATACATATATCAGCCGTCACCAGACTATTTAAAATAATATTTTGTAGATGTGAATGACTTGCAATGTAAAACAACATCATCAGCTAAGTAAAGCTGTTACTGTCTGGTAGCAAATAGAATTTAGACTCTGTACCCTGACTCATTAGATGACTCACTCATTATTTATAATGAATAATAAAGGTTGAAGTATTAATACAAATTTTTAATTAATTCATATGTCATTAGAGGCTTATCCTTTCTCATACAGTTATGTTTTATCTAATTAGGAAATCTCATAGAAGTGATTAAATTAACGGCATATTGTGTTGATAAAAACACTTTTAAAAAGTATTGTAAATAATTCCTACTATCTATACAATCTATAGTTTTATAATTAAAATAAATAGATATTTTCTACTCCATCATTAAGTTAATTTGTAATTTAAAATTAATTTTCACGACCCTTTTTAACATTGAAAGTTTGGCACTATCATTAACTTAGCTTTGTAAAGAATTATAGAATAGAAACAGATCAACATTCTTGTTTATTCACCTAAAAAGAACCAACCAATAAAATCCTCTAGAAAACGTTTAATAACTACATAAAACATATGGTTCAGAAGATTTCTACTCATATGTCCCACTGATACAAGAAGAGTGCAGTCCCCTTTCTTGTCCTGTATTGGCCTAGACAAATGGGGTGACCATTTCAAGATATGCGCTGACCTCCTCTATGAGATTAGAAATGGACAAAGACCTGTGATGTAAGACTGGTTGATATGGTATGACCTTAGCAGTGTGGTCTGACTAATACAGACTGAAAGTGTATGTGAATATTTGGGTATAATGAGATAGAGTATACAGATGATACATTTTCTTATAGGAACTTGTTAGTTTAATTGGGATTAGGACTAAAGTATTAGCTTTGGTTGTAGCAAACTGGGGTAGGGGTGGAATAGAGGAGGTAATCCAACATAGATTAGTGGTCTGAGGGAGGAAGGGAGTTCACTCACACATTCTGATAGAAGAAAACTCACGAAAAAAATTCATGAAAATAATTCTAAGATTCAGTCTGGTAAACAAATAAATAGCATCCTCCCCCTCCAAACAAACAAACAAACAAACAAACATCAAAGGACTAGAATTTGCGTAACTTTTAGTATGTTTTTCTCTCATTGTGTTATTTATATTGCTATCAACATGTTACTGCTAGCATTACTTAAGTCACAAAAACAACATTTCAGATAAGTGAGTTTCAAAATTTAAATTGGCTATAAAAATATAACGTTTTTATTTTACTTTGTTCGTTTTTATTTTACTTTGTTTGAAAGAGGTATTCTGATAATAAATACTTCACTACTGACATTTGTACATAAGATAGTCTTACTAGAGGAATAATGACCATTTCTTGGTTTAGTTTTCACAAAAATGTGACTTTAGCAATTTTAGCACTAGGCTCTTTAATTGCAGGGCCATCTCAAATGGAAATAACCAGCAACCTTGGCCTCAACACTCCTACTGTGTTAGATATGTGGGCTAAAATGCTTGGCTTAACTGCCAACAGCAACAAACCAAAGCTGAACAAAAAAAAACAAAAAAAAAAACAGATGACTTATTAAAAACAAAAAACTCAACCTTGGAAAACATTTAGTGTGCAGTCTTACTCATCTGCATAAATTTTTTTTTAATGTTTAAGTCAAGATGCTAGTACACAGTGCACGGGCTATGACCTTGGTACACGGGCTATGGCTATGACCTTGGTACACGGGCTATGGCTATGACCTTGGTACACGGGCTATGACCTTAGTACACTGGGCTATGACCTTAGTACATGGGCAATGACCTTAGTACATGGGCAATGACCTTAGTACACTGGCAATGACCTTAGTACACTGGCAATGACCTTAGTACACTGGGCTATGACCTTAGTACACTGGGCTATGACCTTAGTACACTGGGCTATGACCTTAGTGCACGGCCTATGATCTTAGTACAAGGGGCTAAGACCTTAGTACACTGGTTTATGATTTAGCACACTGGGCTATGACCTTAGCACACTGCCCAAGATTCGGTACACCTAGGTCACACAACTAGAGATGACGGACGACCCGGCGTTACACAACATCTCGCGGTAACAGCTGTTCTTGGTGGGGGGGGGGGGGGGGAGATCCGGGGGATGGGCGAATTAATAGTCATGCCTACGGCTTCCAGACGTGTAAGTTGTCAGACACTGTATTATCGATTGGTAAACAGGACGTCAGTTTACAATCTGGCTAATCGCTATGACGTTCAATATGGTTTACCTGCTATAGTAAAAAAAAAAAACAATATAGCCTATATAAACTAAAAACATAAGGGATCTGATTGATGGGTTAACTACGCAATTGGAAAAAAAATCCCTTAAAATAATAAATAAATAAATAAAGTCAACATTGTCCTTTTTTTCTGTCTTTTTATTTTAAATTTCACGACTTCTTGTCCAGGTCAGATTTATGATTTTTTAATTTTTTTTTTGGTGAAACTTAATCAACAAACTGTGTTGTTTTAGAAGCTTAATAAGACATAAGTATACAAATCTCATTAGAACTAACTTATAAAACAAGAAAGAAAAAAAAAACTTTTTTTCCCTAGCTTCATGCCTATCTGTAAAAACAAGTGCGTTGTTCGCTCCAGAAATCCTTTTTTTTTCGACCAACGATGTAGTTTTTACTTTTACTTAGAGTCAAATATAATATCTTTAAAAAAAATATTTATGGAGGTTTTATACTTGTTTTATGTTTTAATATTTAAAAAAAGGTATTTAAATCATGCAAAACTAACAAGACGAATCTAGAAAGCTCTAGAAATCTAGATCTATTCTTTACAAGCCGCTGTATCAGAAATGGGTAAAAACAAATGATCATGACCACCAACCCACACAACTACCCCAGAGACAGACAGTCTGACCTAAGTAAGCGTGTTAAAAAACTAGTTTACATCAAAACCAAATGCCGACTGATATGAACGACATTAGCCGAACCAGTCAGATATAACGAAGAATTCCATTGGTCAACGCTAGTCTCCATACGACAAAGCATTGTTACTAGAGGGCATCTCCGATTTCGTGCTATAAATAGCACAGTACAAAAGGTCATGTCTAGTCCTAATTATCTGGACCAGTGGTTCTTAATCTGGGTTCGATGAAACCCTCAGTGGTTCAGCGAGGTCAAAACACACACCCGATTCATATATTTCGAGACGGATATTGTCATTACGTAAGATAAACGTTTATAAGAAGTGTTCGGCGAATACATATACAACTGTTCGGGTTCAGTACTTCCATCAAGGATAAGAACCGCTGATCTAGACATGTTCTTGATAAAAGGTACCTCGCTAGAGTGCTGATAACGACAGGCTGATAAGTATGTCTGTTGGCTAGAAACACCTGCGTTATATGGTCAGCCGTTATAATGGTACCTGACTATAGTGAAGGCGGATAATGACAATCTATATTTGTATGTCATATGTGCTATGTCATCAGTTGTTATAATGGTGCCTGACTATAGTGTTGGTGGTCAATATTTGTATGCCATCTGTGCTATGTCATCAGCCGTTATAATGGTACCTGACTATAGTGTTGGTGGTCAATATTTGTATGCCATCTGTGCTATGTCATCAGCCGTTATAATGGTACCTGACTATAGTGATGGTGGATAAAGACAGTCTATATTTGTATGCCATATGTGCTATGTCATCAGTTGTTATAATGGTGCCTGACTATAGTGTTGGTGGTCAATATTTGTATGTAATATGTGCTATGTCATCAGCCGTTATAATGGTACCTGACTATAGTGTTGGTGGTCAATATTTGTATGCCATCTGTGCTATGTCATCAGCCGTTATAATGGTACCTGACTATAGTGTTGGTGGTCTATATGTGTATGTCATATGTGCTATGTCATCAGCCGTTATAATGGTACCTGACTATAGTGATGGTGGATAAAGACAGTCTATATTTGTATGCCATATGTGCTATGTCATCAGTTGTTATAATGGTACCTGACTATAGTGAAGGCGGATAATGACTGTCTATATTTGTATGCCATATGTGCTATGTCATCAGTTGTTATAATGGTACCTGACTATAGTGATGGTGGATAATGACGACAGTCTATATTCACCCATTAGTGGCCAAGGCGAGTATTAAAACTTCTTAAATGTAGGATGGTGTGGGGGGGGGGGGGGGAGGCGACGACAACTCAAGTTTTTAGCTTTTGTATATAATAATATCTGCCTCATGCGTCCTGGTTACGAACGTGAATTTATAACAAGCAGAGAATAGGTCCACAACACATTCCAAAAATCTGTCGAGGCAAGGATCTCATGTACTAACTCACCCCCCCCCCCGGGACCCCTTTGATCCGCCTACGGGTAGGCCATTCTAGAGCACAGGGGTCAACTTCAGATTGGGTCGTAGTAGAACCTACATAGCAATGTCAAGGTTACTTTCTCATTAGCCTAATGAGGCGTGAGCTCATTGTTCGGCTTATCTATGTGGCGGGTTGGGATGGTGGGGGATTGTGAGAGGTGGGGGAGGGGGCGATTGTGAGTGGAGTGGGGGATTGTGCGATTTGGGGATTGTGAGAGGTTGGGGTGGGGGTTGTGAGAGGTGGGGATGGGGGATTGTGAGAGGTGGGGATGGGGGATTGTGGGAGGCAGGGGTGGGGGATTGTGAGAGGTGGGGGTGGGGGATTGTGAGAGGTGGGGGTGGGGGATTGTGAGAGGTGGGGGAGGGGGCGATTGTGAGTGGAGTGGGGGATTGTGCGATTTGGGGATTGTGAGAGGTTGGGGTGGGGGTTGTGAGAGGTGGGGATGGGGGATTGTGAGAGGTGGGGATGGGGGATTGTGGGAGGCAGGGGTGGGGGATTGTGAGAGGTGGGGGTGGGGGATTGTGAGAGGTAGGGGTGGGGG